GAAGCAGGAAAAGTAATCTTGGGTGGAATGCTATACTCTGCACCAGTCGCTCCATATACATTTTCACCTCCAGTGTATACAAGAACAATTATCATGGTCTGATGACCTAATAGTAATAAAGAAAAGAAAAATATATATAAATTTCCATATTCGATTTATTCATGATCAGAATATTTAGTATATACATGGCACAAAGCACTACTAACGTGGAGCACATAGCTAATGATGATATAATCGTTTCATGCAGTAATTTACTCATACTTTCGATTAGTAGTGCCGCAATCTTTCCAGGATAGAAGAATAAAATGATACAACAGATCTGCTAGTTTTTTTTACGGGGAAAAACTGATATATTACTTAGCTACAGCCTCATTCACAAAATGTGAGATGAGATTACAAGAACCATCTGGCCAGAACTCGGAGAGATATGCTACTTGACTAGTACTAATGTCTAATCAATTCCAAACAACGAAAAGTAAACATACCTTGCAAATAATCTTACGCGTGATCTCTGCTTAAACTCTGATCTCATCTGATATAAGACTAGGGCATGACTTCTGCAGTAAGGGAAGGTTAGGGATAGAAAGAAAGACACTAACCAATGCGTAGATCCGTATTTCTTTTCTACGTTGCGGGCGTGCAGTTGCTCGGCGGAGGCCGCTGTTAAGTTTTGGCGTCCAGGTTCTGTCCAGGGACGCAGTAAAAACCTTGCGTCCAAATTAGTCGCTGCCAAATGATAGCGTCCCTATCAAACAGATGGACGCTACTTGACCAGAACGTCCTGCTTATTAATAGAATTAGATGGCTGTGGTGCTTACATAAAAAAAATATTTCTTATTTTGCTCAGAATTAAAAAAATGGGTAACAATTGAATATAAATCTGTAATTACTTGCATTGGGTTAGATGAATGGGGTGATGACCATATGGATGCATTTCTTTGCAAGAGGTCAGAAGCGAATATAGAACTCATCGATTGTAATTTGCAACAGCATGTTACCAACACGATAAAATGGTGTAGATGATGCACAGTTGAATACCTGACGATGCAATAAATCAATTTTGGCCTGTAAGACTTTGACGGCGCCTTATTATTTAGAGAGCTGATAATTTCGTGCCATGGACCAGCCTGGCTAGCAAAGTTCGACCAATGCAAATTTGGATCACTATTTCAATTGGAATTGGGAATTTCTGGCAGCCTATCAAGACCGCCCGCAAAATGGGTTGTGCAGTGGATGGGCCTTCCACGTTGCCACACAGACAATTTAAATTAAAGAACATGCTAAAAATCAGTTTTCCTTTTGTTTTCAATAACACACATACAGGAAAAAAAGGGGCATTGCTCGACGTATTTTAAAAAAAAATCCATATAGAACTTCTCCAAATAAGAGCCCTCACTACGGTGCTCTCTGCTGGAAATAGAAAGAAATCCGAACTGTTGATCTCATTTGATCGAAGGGTTTAAATCTATTTGTACTACCACTCTAGTTAGCGGTAAGAGAAATGTGAAGGGGTATTATTGTTAAAAAAGAAATGTGGAGGGGTATAATCATCACTTAGCAGTGACTAAACCTTTTTTCCTCTCTCTTTTTTTTTCTTTGGCTCCAGCTGATGGAATATGAGTGATGCTAGCGAAATGGATGACCACATATCGATCTTAGATGAAAAAACATAAATGATAAAGTTACTCCTAATCACTATATTAGTAAATTACTAATTTATCCTTAATAACGAATGGTTCTGATCATTTCTAACAATACTACTAGTAGATAACACCGGCATCGCTTAACAAGCAAAGATATGATATGGAAAAACAAGATGTACTCACAACAAGCAATCTAAGAAGTTTGTGAATAATTTTTTATACACGTCTTTTTGAAAAACAATCCCCCCTCTATCATCGAGCACATGCAACTACCAGCTTACTCCTATTTTCCCTAGGAACAATCATTCTGAAGCCTTTCCCTAAGTCATCGCGGTAAGTGTTTTTTCTTGACCAACCACTTAATTACCGCAGAAGCCGGAAGGTCATTAGGTCTTTAATTAAGTCACTAATGCTTGCGTTGAGTCCTATAGGCTCCCAACGACGATGAGACAGAGTTCACTTCACACACCGCGTGCCAGGCAGCACTGTGAACTATGGCTAGATCAACAAATTTGAAGATCTACTGTCTATGTTTCCATTTGGAGAACTGATAGTAGATACCGATGTAAATTCAATTCGAGGTTCCAAACGCCTCCCATGCCTATGGATATGAATCGCAAGTAGAGAAACAAGCGATGTTACAATACTATGCATGTTGAGTCTTTTGGGCCGTATTCGTATTTCCGATCAGTGTTGGTTTTATGGTGTCTGAGCAGGGATTTCCTTACCCTGAGGGTGGGGTTACCGCACCCCGGCAGTACGCACGGTTATTACGCGGTAACCATGGCAAACTATAAGAAACCATATAAAATTTGTCAAAAAAATAATTATTTTTTAAATTTATTTAGATTTAATGGGGTTACCGCGGTTTTACATTTATCGTACCGGTCGGTAAGGGTGATTACCACGATAACCACGCGGTCACCGCCGGTTTTGTAAGTCCTGTCCCTGAGTACGTACTAGGAAGTAATATATTTTTTAAAAATATGGTATCTCTCAATCTCAGCTACTAAGAGATACTAAAATTTACACCAAAAGATTTCACAACTCTCAGTACCTCTTAAGGGTGATACAATTTTTATACTGTGTACACATTCACATATTTTCTTTTGGGCCCTGCTTTAGTTTAACTATGCTTAAAGATTCGCAAATCTCAAACTAAACTAGTTGTCAATGATAAACATTTCACATTACCCACAAAAATAGGATCAGTAAGTCAATTCAACTCAAATGCAGCGCGTAGCAATTCATTAACTGAAGCCGCACATTAATAATATTTTTCCCTGTAAGCCATATTCCACCTGTGAAGCTAGCGCTCATGAGATCATCACTGATATCAGGGAAAAAAAAACTTTATCGTACTTGTAAATTGGGCTTGATTTCACACGTCTAAGATGTCAGATACACGAAGATTTAATCTGTACGATGAACAAAAACCCAAAAGGTGATATTTCAAAAACCCAACAAAGAAATAACAATCACAGGGCGATAGGCCTGACCATTTCGAATCCAAAGGCACGCATTAGGCACTAGACGGTATCCCTGCTATCCCAAATGTAGCCTGTCACCAAAAATATTTACTTGACTTACTTCAAGAAAAACTTTAATATGCAATTCCTCTACTAAAGTTCAATATAATGTTTCCTGGAATAAGCTGCACAGCATGCCAAGAGAAAATGCCTAGGCTTGGAAAGGTCAAGTGACGACATGTGTTATTCCAGATGCCTCCCAAACATAAGTTCCGAACTCCGAAGTAGGGAATGTCCAGTTGTAAGAGGCATGTTTTCTGGTGGAGTGTGTGAAACTACCGCATATATATATATATATAGCAAGTGTAGAGAGCACACTTATTAGTTTATACAAATTCTTCTGATATCATGTCCTATTCTGAATAATAATGACGACTCTATACCTGAGAAAGCATTTAAAATGATCCACTTTTAGTTCTGTGCAGAAGAAAACATTTAGAATGGTCTTCAACATTTAAAATGGTCTTATTTTATTGTATTAAGTAAAATCATTTTGCTAGTCGGTTTTATTTTTGTCTTTTTACTACGAAGCCACCCCTTTTCTCCTTCTATGAAGATATAATAGTAATACGTGGAGTACAGTATGTAAGTTTTTTTCCCATGATAATTAGTGAACTTGGTTGCCATGGAGACTCTCATCAATTCATCTTGCAGTACCAATGAGCAGTCTTTTGCTTAATTGAGCACATAACACGACTACAAAACAAACAAAAGGAACAGCACTATAGGTACCGGAAATACTAAAACCGACACATAAAATACTAAAATCGGCATCTTATATAGATCTTTTCCCACCTCCATGGACTGAAAAATATACACCCAGTACCTTTAAGCAACTATAGATGCTAGTTCTAGAGAAAATCAACACCAATACCATAGTTATGGTTTTTTTTTTTTTTAAAAAAACATCTTTTTTAAAAAGGGCACCTTCAATATATTATGGTATCAGTTAATTAAAACACCGGTACCAAAAATTCGAGACGAGTCGAGCCTCTGTCATTCTTATCCTCTCGCCCGACCGAGTCCTCTCCCTCACCCTTATCCACTCGTGAGAACCCTCTCCTTCTCCCTCTCATTCTCCCTTATCCACTCGCGAAGGAGAGTTGCGGCGGCGCCTAGCTTCTCCCCAAGAGCAAGTGGCGGTGGCACCCTCCCCACCGGTGAGTGGCAGTGCGCCGCCCTCTCCCTCATGAGCAGCGGTTCCCAACCCCTCCTCCCTAGCACGCCAAATGAAGCTCGTATTATTGTATGATTAATTAAGTATTAACTAATTTTTTAAAAAATGGATTAATATAATTTTTTAAAACAACTTTCATATAGAAAGTTTTTTATAAATCACAGTATTTAGCTGTTTGAAAAGCGTGCACGCGGAAAACGAGACAGATGGGTTGGGAAAATGGGGGAAAGAACACATCCTTAGGGTGTGTTTAGTTCGCGAAAAGAAAATTTTTGGGTGTCACATCGGACGTTTGACCGGATGTCGGAAGGGATTTTCGGACACGAATGAAAAAACTAATTTCATAACTCGCCTATAAACCGCGAGACGAATTTATTAAGCATAATTAATCTATCATTAGCACATACATGTGGGTTACTGCAGCATTTATGGCTAATCATGGACTAATTAGGCTCAAAATATTCGTCTCGCGATTTCCATGCAAACTTTGCAATTAGTATTTTTATCTATATTTAATGCTCCATGCATGTGTCTAAAGATTCGATGTGACATTTTTGGGCAAAATATTTTGGAAACTAAACAAGGAATGTTTCTATAGATAGTTTCCCTCCTAATGCTTGTATGGCTCACATCATTGCTTATATTGCCAATAATTAATGGTTCTAACTTAGCAGCGTTGAATACAATTCTTACTCTTATGTGGCATATCTGGAAGGCAAGGAATGGATTTAAATTTCAGGGCAAACACAAGGAGCCGTCTCAAGTATGTCATGGTGCTGAGGCAATGGTAAGTACTTATTTGAAATATTCAAATCATCTCAATGGAAATAGATGTTATGTGGATGCAAGTTGGAAAGATGGTTCAACGGGTATTGGTAACTTTATTCACTTGACTTCTAATCACAATGCTATATTAATCAAGCGGAGCTTATTGCCATGCATTTAGCCATGCAAGTAATCCACTTCCTTAATATTCCTGAAACTACCTTCCTCACAGATAACCTGATAATTGCAGAAGTGTTCAGGAAAAAAGACTTTGGTGCAGATCCAGGTCATTGGAGTCTCAGGCCCTTTTGGAGTCAAATTCTTTCCACCATTCCTGAAAGTTGGATGCAGGTCACTTGGATACCCAGGGAGATCAACAGGATGGCTGACAAGATGGCGAAAGAAGCTAGAGCTATGTTGCTTAATGATCCTATCTATAATTGTCAAAATGTCTCTCACCTTGCTTACCCAAATAGAGGGTGTTATGCCAATGCTATTAAGAATAGCTTCAGTGGCACAAACTGTGTAATCAAGCATGTCTTGTGCTTCTAATTAATAATTTTTAATTAGAAGTTGGTCAAGTATATTGAACTTTAAAACCAGAAGTCTAACCCTCTAAATTTTATAATATCGTTCAAATTATCTCCTAAATTGGTTTTGGGTATGTATAACTATAAACTTAAATGAACGTTTTTGAATAACTGATATAGCATAGGGGGGCCACTAAACATATGGATGTCAATTAGTTGTAGTGATACAAAATTAGTTGGGCCTATGTGAGCCTCTCTTCCAGCCATGATCCAGTCCGAGCTATCCATTAATGGGCGGCCCAGATTGGGATTGACTGAGTAATGAGATAATTTGAGTATTCATTATCTGACTAACTTTGCTTCTCAAAAAGTAGGCCTTGATGGGTGAGAGGGTGTTAATCCAAACCAAACAACTCGATGTGAGCTTGATCTATCTATCTATCTATCTATATTATCCTATTATTCACCAACTCATTCTTACACCTACATACTCATTCATCAAATCCTACGGACGAGAATCATCCAATCCAACGCCACAGGTCGTTCCACGTACCCCCTCAACCTCCGCGCGCATTTCCCCCACTCCCCTCGACCGAAAATCACGCCTCTCAGATCGCTCCTCCTCCCACCTCCACCGAAAATCCCCAACGCGCTCTCCTTCCCCCAACCCAGATCGCTCCACCTCCCTCTCCCAACCTACAGCGCGCCGTCGCCTCCCCCGCCACCACAAGCGCCGCTGCACTCCCCCCGGCAAACCCTAATCGTCGCCACGACCTCCTCCTCTCTCCCCTGCTGCCACCCTTCCGTTTCGCCGCCAGCGCGACGGCTCCCCTCTAGTGGTGTAGGAAGTTGTGATACTCATATTTTGTGCTCTAGAATATGTTTACATATAGTTTAATTCAGGTTAAACACTAAACACTGTCCAAATTTTGAGAAAATTAGGGCAAATATAAGGAGTAGAAAAATAATTATTTGTTGAGGAATCGGAATAAATGGAAATTCTTTGATGTATGGAAGAACTAAAACTAAAATAAAATCTTAGTATGCACACTAAGATTTCTCCGATTTTATTTTGCAATTTTAGAATTATGGTTGTCCAATACTATAAAATTCAGATACAACATATGCCAAATTCAGAAAATAGGGTCATAAACTCATACTAGCTACAGTGTACATCTACTGTAAACTAAAATGCAATCTTAAAAATAAAATCATGTTTCCTCCATTTGTGCTCACCACAAATGAATCGGTCCATAAAATTCCTCAATTTCTCTTCCTCTCCCATAGTGTGTCCTGGAATTAGTTTTGCTGAAAGATTGTAGTGTACGTATGCATTGATGGCTAAACGTTTTCACATGTGTATTTGACAGCTCATGTTCGACTTGAAGCAAACAGGAAGCTTTCTCCATTAGAAGGAATTAAATTGATGAAGAAGGTAGCACATACTTTGATAACTGCCAAAGATGCAAGCCTGGCTAAGTAGTCACACGTGAAATGGCCGTGCTCAACTCTGGACTTATATAGATGAGATAGCTCATTTCGAGAGCATATATCGTGGCCTATTCGATCCATTTATATTAAATTTGGATGTTGAAGTGATTAGATGTAATTGTAAAGAAATGTTTTTTATTGTCAGGTAATATAATATTACTAATTAACTTTGCCTGAAATAAATGTGACATATAACATCCATCAAGCTATATGAAAGGTTCTGTAATTTGCCTTAACTATCATATTATTAGATATGTAATCTATGTTGCATTAGTCTTGAGTTCAAATAACTGTTCATAATTCACATTATATGTTTATTGTGGACTAAGGTAGATTCATATTTTATCGGACAAGAATGTATCCAAATGGTTCAGCGAATGAAGAATGCTTCAAGAATGCTCTGTTTCAGGTTATAAGACGTTTTGACTTTGATCAAAGTCAAACTGCTTCAAGTTTGACTAAGTTTGACTAAGTTTGTAGGAAAAAATAATAACATTTTCAACCCAAGACAAATTTATTATGAAAATATATGCAATTATTAATTTAATGAAACTAATTTGGTATTATAAATATTACTATATTTATCTATAAACTTAATCAAACTTAAAATAGTTTGATTTTGACAAAAATCAAAACGTGTATCATCTGACCCTGTTACTCTGTCCTTACTAGCCAAGGAGAAGAGAAGAAACTGGTGAGCTAAGGTAGATTTGCATGATCAAAATTAATTTGAAAATATAATATAAGAGATAGTAAATTGTTGATCAGAATGTTACTCACCAAAGTCCTTTTGTTTTGTACAACACGCCATCACCATTTAGATGGAATATTGTATGATTATGTTCTCCATACCATCTCGTGCTACATGCTTTAGTTTGCACCGAGCTGATAACAAGATTATATGTTAACACGTGTGTCTATCTAAATATGTACTTTTGTCATTGGCAAATTTTAGAAAATTTTTTGGGAATACATGTTTTCTAATTAAATTTGCAACAAAATACTGGTTTGGAACGTAATAATAAAAATATATCTGCATGGTATATTCTATATATGTAGCAAATGCTTTATATTTTACTTGTTTTTGCCCGCAACAAATTAATGGAATAACTATGTACTTTTTAAACATGTTTTTTAATCTTATATTGTATACTGAAGTGATTAAATATAATTAATTCTTGGCAAGATTTATCGTGTCCATGTAATATCGTATTATTATACCTTGTGTGACATATATTTAATGAACGACATAATTAAATTAAAACTCAATTGCACAAATTATAGAAAAATATTTTTTTGCTAACATGAAATTTTAAAAGTTACTAAAGACAAATAGATTTACACTGTAGCGTTTAGCACGGGCATATTACTAGTCTGTTTTAGGAGTAGATGCCGCTGATGGACTCTCAAACCCCGGGTTCTCGACACATGCACGTACGTTGAACGTCTGCAGCGGTCGATATTTCTAAATTGCTGATAACTTCTATGCCTAAATTTGTATTTTCTGTAGGTCATCAGAAGGAAACTATCAAAGATCTACCAAAATCACTAAATACTTACCATATCTAATATTTAAGCTCCTTCAGAGTCAGCCCTCAACTACAAGGGCTTGACATATATGAACTCTGCAGCTAGTATAGAGCACATGGAATTTGCAGAAGCAACTCATTTTGTGTATCACCATCTCCCCAGATTTATATATGATGGACAATAATGAGTGATGTGAGTATGTCATGCACGCATACTTTTACTTAATGTATATCAGATGTATCCATACATGCAAACGTGCCCTAATTAAAGGCCTGCGCATAACTTTTACCATCCATATTTTTTTTCAAGACTTGGATCATAATTTAACATCATTTAATCGAGATTGATCAACTTGAAACTACTAAATTAATTCATCACTGAAGGAAATACTGATTGGGATAACCGAAATGGCCTGGCGACTTTTTCAGGCCTGACTACTTCCATGGAGGAACTTCGAATGTCTTGATTACTCGGTATATCGACTAGATAATGCACTTGTTTCTTCCATGACTCGCACGCCCGTAGTATCAAGATGAAAATAAGAATATAAATTATACGATGTTTTCCCTTAATAGGCCTCTTGTACTTGATCCAGAAGTAAAGTTTGTTGAGATGATTTTTTTTTTCTTTTTGAGCTAGGAAAGCACGGCTTCCCCCATTTCCATATAGTAACAGAAATGACATGTTCTACAAAGGTCAGACAAAGCAAAAGGAAGAAAAATGAAAACCAACAGCAGCATCACTTAGTTGCCTCCTTTTCTGCCTACATTTGTTGAGATGATTGCTATTCGGTTCATTACTACGCCAAATCAATTAACTATATTGGTCTCAATTAATTTTGTAGGGAACAATATTATTTTGGTAGTACGTATTTGATTCTCTGACTGTAATAATTCAATAGCTCATGATTAACATGCATATGAATGCATATATATTGGCAATGTCATGCACACGATACATGGTGGTTGCTTTCAACAAATAAATATGGTTGTAGGTTGAGAGATACATAAATGGAAGATAAAGCAAGTGAAACTCGTAAGGGCATATGGCTTACTCCCTTCGGTTCCATAATTTTTGATGTTTAAGATAATGATATGGTCTTCAAAATATTTCTCTTATAATATATACAATAAATAAAGGGTAAATTTGATCCATGCCATTATAAATATAGCAAATAAAAAAATACCACAACTATTCGCGTTATCGGCTGGGTGCCACTGAAAATTTTTAAAATTTGAACCATGCCACTCCCGTCACTTTTTCCGTCCTCTCTCACGTCGCTGTCCTCACCGTCACCAACACCAGCAGTGGAAGTAGCAGCAGGAGTAGCGCGGCTGCAGCATGGTGCGCATGGGGAGTGGGAGGAGCAGCGGCGGTAGCAGCCCTTGTCGGCAGCGCCCGAGCTGGAGAAGGAGACGGGGAGCAGGAGGAGCAGTGGCGACAGCGTCCCTCGTCGGTGGGATCGGCAGCGCTGGAGCTGGAGGAGGAGCCGGGGTTCAGGAGGAGCAGCGGCGGCGGCGGCGGCCCTCGTCGGCGGGGTTGGCGGCGCCGGAGCTGGAGGAGGAGATGGGGATCAGGAGGAGAAGCCGCGGCGGTGGCCCTCGTCAGCAGGGTCGGTGGCGCCGGAGCTGGAGGAGGATCGAGACGGGGATCCGGAGGAGCGGCGACGGCGGCGGCTCTCGTCGGCGGGGTCGACAGCCTCGTCCTCGTCCTCGCCGCTAACAGATTCATCCGTGACGGGCTTCATCCTCATTTTGTCGAGCCTCAACACTAGGCCCGTCATGGATGACCTTCTTTGGTAACGGGCCTTTATTGCGGCCCGTCACGGATGACCTTAACGGGCTTCAACCGCATCCCGTCACGGTTGATGGTCATCCGTGATGGGCCCTACCCAAGGGGACTAAGATTCTACCTCTCTCGGACCATCTTTGACGAGGCTTTTTGTGGCCTGACAAAGATGACTTTCTTTATGACGGGCCTCTTGTCTCCGTGACGGATAGCCCGATTGGGATGGCCGGTTCTGTACTAGTGTGTACTCCTTGATTTCGGTAAGCACGTTTCCTGAACTACTAAACAGTATGTTTTTAGTAAAGAAGTTTTTAAAGGAAAGTTTCAAGAGAAAATCATATTGATCCATTTTTAAGTTCCCAAACTACTAAACATCATGTGCTAATAAACTATCTTGTTTTCTATGCCTGGAGAGCAAAGGTTCCGAACCTTTAAGCTTCGAAAATAGCCTTAGAATGGTATTACATGTGGTCTGCTTTCAATGGGCTCATCTTCTTTTGGCTCTAAGTGTATCACAATCTTTTTTTCAAATTGTTTATCATGGTATACTATTAGGGTAATTTTATCACCCTTGAGAAAATACCGGGAGATACCACACTTAACTTGTAGTATAAAATTTGGTACCTTCAGATACTCGAGGTAAAAAAAATAGTGTAAAATTTAGTTACCTCGAGATACGTTTTTAAGTATCATAAAATTTCTCGTACTATTAAGTCAATCTCTTTTTTTCTTTTGACAAAGAAGTCACCATTCTTTTTTACATGAAGGTAGTAATGCACAGAGTATTTATGCAGGTGGAATAGGTAGTAGCTAGCCATGGAAGTATGCAACTGGCATAATTTTGTTGGGATAATTGGACCGTGGAGACCAGTTGGCTTGCACTGGAGTCAACACTAGCACTAGGCCTTGACATGGTTCGTTGACAGTTGGATAAGGGGGCTTTTAACTGTGTGCTATTTACCACCCCTATCTCAATGACATGTGGATTCACATGTGTCTATGACATGTGAGTTCAATGGCAAAAAGTTAATTGCCATATCTAAATGTGGCAACCTAACTTAATTTTGTGTCGCTGTTATTGATTGAGGTGCAAATTGTTGGTGGGCTAATTGAACGGTTGGAATTAAGTTGGGGAAAAAGTACACCGAAAGTCCCTCAGCTTGTCATCAGAATAAAAAAAACGTCCTCGAACCGCAAAACCAGATATACGAGATCCCTTAATTATATAAAATCGGTCACCCGAGATTCTTAATAGTTTTGATTCCGGGTTTGGTCTACGTGGCAGCTGAGTCAGCGTGGTACCCACGTGGGCCCCACAAGTCAGGTGTCCACGTCAACTCTCTCTTTCCCCTCTTTCTTTCTCTGTTTCTCTCCTTCCTCCCTCTCGCTCTCTCTCGCAGGACATGGGGCTGCAGCAGCTAGGGCGCCGACGGTGGCGCGCGTGGCCGGAGGATGGTGCGGCCAGCGACGGCGGCTCCCGGGGCGGCGCGAGCTTCCCCCAGGCGGCGCGCAGGCTAGAGGCGGCGCGAGCTCAAGACGTGGTTCTCCGGAGTCCGGACCACTCCACGTGGGGGCGGCGGGTTCAGCGTCGTCGGCGGAGGCGTTAGCTAGCAGCGGCGGGGAACGGGTTGTCGTTGTCACCGAGGAGGCTGAGGAGTGAGGAGGGAGCGGGAGCGGCGGCGGGTGCGGGAGCAGCAGCCGCGGTGTGGGGAGGTGGCGGGCGGGACGGCGGCAGAGTGCGCTGCGGTTTTCTGCTGCTTCCCTTCACCGTCGTCAAGCTCGTCGTCCTCGCGGCCGTCCGCGTCCCCTCCACGCTCTATATACAGGTTGCTGGATAACTTCAGAGTTCTGAGTTCTGAGTTCACTCAGCACGTCCTCTTCCGGCAGATTACATGCGAAGCAATGTAGACATACAAAGCAGAACACAAGCAAAAAAAAAAAAAAATCAAAAAACGCCGGACAGAGCACACATGCTGCTGCACAGTTACAAGCATTGGAGTGAGTGGTCGCTACTACTTGACGATGAGAACTGGACAGCTGGCGTTCCTGACGCAGTAATCACTCACTCTCCCAAGCAGAGCCCTGCAAAATCAACGAGCATGTATGAAGCAGATGATATGCAAAGCAGATAAGCTGCTCTCTCACAGCTTCTGAGATTGAAAACGAGATTGTTTCAGTGACCTCTTGAACAGGCCATAGCCATGGCTCCCCATCACGAGCACGTCGGCGCCGAGCTTGTCCACCCCGCCGACCTCCTCCCCAGCTGCGAACCCAAACGAGGAGAAGAGTGAGAGAGAGAGAAGAGAAAGGGACCGGAGAGGAGGGAGAGAGGGTGATGACGTGGCCAGCTGACATGTGGAGCCCACATGGGTCCCACGCTGACTCAACTGCCACGTAGATCAAAACCGGAGTCAAAACCACCGAAAGACCTCGGATGACCGGTTTTATATAGTTAAGGGACCATCAGTCTTCTTGACGACCTTCAGATTACCAGGATCCGCCATGAATTTGAAGCAGGCCTCCTTGAGCCCATCACAATGATGCTGCTCAGCCAACGTCAACGCCGTAGCCGCCGTGCTGGTGTCGACGTGGCTGCGCAGCTGTGTCCTCGCAGATCAGCTTCAGCCTCTCCATGCCATACCTGTCCGCCGCGACGAGCAGATGCTCCGCGCCATGGCTACCACCTCCTCCTCCTCCTCGTCATCTACCTTGGCAAGGAGTCGTTGTAGATGAAGTGGAGCATGGCCTCGAATACCCTCGGCTCCATATCGGACATGGGGGCTTCATGTCATGGACATGGATTGTCTCCTCGACATCTTACGAGGACAAGATTAGAGTGTTGAAGCTATGCAAAAACTAATCCCGACAATGCGAGCCACCGTAACAAGCCTTGCTCCTCATCAGAGATCGAAGCCGATGCAGTCCAATTCGAAACAAGAACTCGTCGAAAGTAAAAGGGTGCCGATGAGCTGAAAGTAGATTGTATTGATCTGTGGAGATAGTTTATAATGACCTTGGGTGTACATATTAGTTTATAATGACCTTGGGTGTATATATTTATACCTATGGATAATAGTTCGTATTGGACACGATACAAACTTTTCTAAATATAAAAGGAAAAACATTAAGTACTTATCGGACACTAAACATACTTTCCTAAAGATAAAAGGAAACTAACGACCGTTTCTAATTAATACATAAACTATCATGCTGCATCCTCCATAAACTCGGTCTCTTTTTGATAAACTTTGTTTAATTGATTAATTTTCTTAGCTGAATCTACTAAAAATCCGACTATTGATGACTTGATAATTCTTATCGGCTGATACCAAGACGCTGAAGCCAATAGTGACTCTAAGCCGATGATGACTTCGGGGCTACCAAATTTTGGCGTTACACATGCCCCCGATTTTTGGAGTATGAGGACTCATGCTTCGAAACTCTCTTTTGTTTAGTCTTTCATGAGTCGATACTATCTTCATCAGATGAGCTAGGCTATTGAATTCGTGGAAAAATAATCTATCCTTGATAGGTGTTGATAATCCTTGGAATGCAAGATCCGCTAGCTGCTCATCACTTAGGCTCAAACTATAACATCGGCTGCGGATATTACGAAATCTTTTAATATATTCCATAGCCGATTCTCCTTCTTGCTGCTTAACCAATAATAAGTCTGAAAGTTTCAACTCATCGATTCTAGCAAAGAAATATTCATGAAATTGCTTCTCAAGATCGACCCATCCTCTGATAGAATTTGGTGGTAATGATAAAAACCATGTGAAAACCGATCCAGTCAAAGACAATGGAAAAAGTTTAACTTTTAGAGCCTCTTCAGCCGATGCCTCCCCACATTGTGCTAAAAATCGGCAGATATGTTCCATTGTAGATATATCATCTTGCCCTGAATATTTGGAGAAATCTGGGACCTTGTATTGGTGTGGCAATGGAACCCTATCAAACCATTCAGGATATGGCAGCCGATACATATAAGTTTGTTCCTTGGGCTTAAGTCCAACCTGCTCATTTACTAATTTTGTAGTTCTATCGGCCCAATCTTCTTCATATAGATATCTTTGAGTTTCTTTTGGCCGATATTGTTGATATAACTCATCATGCAGATATTGGTGTGCTTGTCCCCCTAGCTGATACTGTTGTTTTTCTTCAATTTGCCTCCAGAGATGGACTCTTTGATCAATTAACTCATCAACCATTCTCTTTATCAACTTTTGTAATGTATTCAACAGAACTCCAGATGGATTGGATAAGGCACGATGAACTGCTTGATTGACTTTAACTTGAAGTGTTTCACTCTCCATGACGACCTTGAAGCAAGCCTCCTTGAGCCCCTCACAGTGATGCTGCTCAGCCAACGCCAACGTCGTCCCTGCCGTGCTGGCGTCGACGTGGCTGCACAGCGTGTCCTCGCAGATCAGCTTCAGCCTCTCCACGCCATACCTGTCCGCTGCGACGAGCAGATGCTGCGCCATGGCTACCACCTCGTCGTCGTCTTCCTTGGGCAACGAGTCGTTGTAGATGAAGTGGAGCATGGCCTCGAACACCCTCGGCTCCATGTCATGGACATGGATGGTCTCCTTGTTGTTCTGACCCATCGGGCCGAAGAGCTCCGCCGTGAACACCGGCGACCGGGCGGCGAGCACGCACCGGTGCGCCGCGAATGTCTCGTCGCCGACCTGGACCGTGATGTCCGCCCCATGTCCGCCAGAGAGGAGGCTGCCGAGATGCCGGTGCATGTCCGGCGGTGGCACGGCGACGAGCGGCCTACTCGGAGGTGTTTTAACACCGAGATTTTTTAAGATCCCTCAACTATAAAACCATAAATGTGCACCTCTAAACTCTCTCAAACCATTCAATGGAGGTCCCTCGGCAGTATTTTTGCCCGGTTTTACTGACGTGGCATCCTAATCAGCAAAAAAAATAAAAAATTACGTGGGGCCCACATGTCAGCTGCATGCTAGTCTCTTTTCCTTTTTCTCTTCTCTTTCTGCGTGTGCGCACCGCGGCGACCTCTTCGCCTCAGGCCGGGCGGCGGCGTGCGCCTCGACCCAGGCAAGAGGCAAGAACGTCGCCGGCGGTAGGCGGCGGAAAGGGGCGGCGGCGGCTGAAGCAGGCGGAGGGGCGGCGTCAGGGGGCGAGCACGCGGCTGCGGCGGCGGCAAGCGGCGGGCGAGCGCGGCCGCAGAGGGCGAACGGCAGCGGGCGGAGGGGCGGTGTCGCGGCGGTCTGGGCCCGGGAACACGAGGAAGAAGGCGCCGTCAAGGGCGCGCGCGCCGGTGTAGAGCGTGGCGAGGGAGCCCGGCGCGGCGACGCCGTGCCTGGCGAGGACGCGCGCGGCGAGCCCCGCGGGCACGCGGAGGAGGCCGATGAGGAAGTCCACCATCGTGCATCTCGATCGCGTACGCACTTCAGCCGGCGTCGCGCAGGTGGACGTCCGTTTCGTGTTCTGCTCCGTGACCGATGTTTGACGATATTTTGTCATTTTATGGTAAGCAAACAAGATTACTATTTATCAAAGAAGCTAGCTCGCTGGTTTTTATGAGATGCATGGGCCATGCAAACTGTGCACGTATTAGTGTATATACGCATCTATATATGTGGCTAACCATATGGCTCATATGCATTAGGCGGGGGTCGGCAGCTGGCGGCCGGTGACAGCGACGGCGGTGGCCGGGGTTGTCGGCCGCTCCGCCCGCATCCGCTCTCGCCCATCGCCGCTTTGCCCGCCGCCGGCGAAGAGTGAAGAGAGAAAAGAGAAGAGAACCGTTGTTGGGAATAGTCCCACATTGCTAATCTCAAGGGAGATTGTTGGGAATAGTCCCACATTGCTAATCTAGGGGGAGTTGAACCAACTTAAAAGTGGAAGGAGTCCCTCACCTCTTGAGCTAGCTTTTAGGGTGTAGCAAGGCTTTCTCCCGGTTGGGGCAACGTCTCCTGGTTTTGGGCCAACAACCGTTCCCAGCGGTGCGGCGGCTCGACTTCGAGCTCGCGCCGTTCGACGCGTCAGAGTCACCAAGGCATGGGTGCTCGGCTTGCTTGGGGAGGTCGACGTCGTCGCCTCCACCTCCACCTCCGCCGCCTCGGGTTCAAGTGCAACAGCGCCGTCCGCCGCTGCCGCCCGCGCGCTCGCTCGCTGCCGCCGCCACCCCACTTCCGCTGGTCGTCGCGAGCTCGCCCGCCACTTGCTGCCGCTGCAGCCGCGCTCGCCCACTAACGTCGAAAGAGAGGAAGAGAAAAAGGAAAAACGACTGGGATGCAACTGACATGTAGGCTCCATGTAATTTTTTAAACTTTTTTGCTGACTAGGATGCCACGTCAGTAAAACCGGGCAAAAATACTGCCGAGGGGCCTCCGGTGAACGGTTTGAGGGAGTTTAGGGGTACACATTTCTGGTTTTATAGTTAAAGGATCTCAAAAAAAATCTTGTTGTTAAGTTGAGGGACCTTCTGTGACCTTATTCCCCTTAAATATTCATGAACGGGGAACATGGGTTTCCTTGGCCCATTAGGAGAACATGAGAGTCCATGAATTTCTCTATCTCTATATCTATCTTCTCTCCTTCTTTCCTTTGGTTGCGTCCTTTCCGTATGCAGAATCCCAAAATTTAAATTTCTTGGTCGGTCTTCAGGGGCGGATCCAGGAATAAAAAATTGAGGCTCAATTACACAGTTTTTCTAACCTCTAGCCATATAAAGACCTTTAGTTTATCATTTATATAGTGAAAAAATCGAAGAGGGTGCTCCGGGGATATCATGTGCCTTGTGAGTGTAGGGGGGACTCCCCTGTCCGTCTTTATGGTGCTTCAGCCAGATCGAATCGGAAAAAAATTTTAGAAAAAAAGATCATGAATCGACTGTTAATCTTGTTGTATGTGTGAGTTGCATAAATACTAGCAAAATTTCCATGCGTTGCACCGAATGTTGCGTTGGATAAAGTTTAACTGAAGGATGTTTTAAGCAATCTAGTATGACAATAATAATCACAAAGGTTTTCTTTTTTGCTAGACAATTATTCTGCATATACGTGTATGATATGAACTATGTTCCTAACACATTTGCGTAACGATTGTACCATGAAAGAAACAAACGGTGAATCGCTTAGGTCACTTTCATGCAAGAGTAGATGAATGAAATTTGTGTGATTAACAAAAGAAAAATATGTATTTAAAATACGTTAGCTTATCATAAAACTAATGATAATCATGATGGATCAAAAAAATACATTTCCATATTTACTCATAGTATGGTAGTCGTCTCGATCCGTCGACCCGCTTTGCAAGCGCGCGATCTAATTTCCAAAATCATAAGTAGACTCGCGTGGAGATTGATCGTGACATGTGTATGATATATAGCGTGCAGACTCTAATATGTCGTGTCTTGTGGAATTTTTATCTCAAAAAAAAAATTAAGTGAAAGTTTCGGTGATTATGATGTCAACAATAAAAAGTATTAAAAAATATCACTAGTCTGTGAAGTATGTACGTGTACCTTAACAATTATTTTTTAGCGAAAATCAATTCGGTGGATTAGCAAAGTCTAGAAAATTGACCACAATTAACAAGTCTACTATTGTTGTAGTTTTTCTTTAAAAAAATATCGGTTGTCTGGTCAGTTAGGCTTATCTCTCTCGCTCTCCAGTTTACTCTCTCCATCTCTCTCCTGTCGCCGGCCAGATGCACATCTCTCTGTCTTTCCCCGTCTTTCTTCGTCTCTCTCCCTCCACCACCCGAGTTGTCACCGACCAGATCGATCACCGGTTCCAAGCCATCGTTGCTGCTCGCGTGGATCCACTGCCGGTGCCTGGATCCCCTTTTTGTCTCTCTGCCTCCCTCTCGCATGAATTCGCCACATCAACGGTGATGGGAGGGGTGGATCCGATGACCTCTTCCCCTCCTGTGCGGATCCCTTCGTCTCTCGGTGATGGCCCATTGGCAGTTGTGACGCCCGAGGCACGTAGGCGGCAATGAGACTGGTGGGCAGCGGATCCGGCGACAAGGGAGGCTCGAGGACGGCGGCGATGAGGCTGGTGGGAAACCGGCGTTGGGAGGCACGTGGGCAAAGATGAGGCTCGAGGGCACGGTCGGTTGAGTTTTGGTTGCCGCCTTCTGAAGTTGCTGTCGCCGCCTGCTTCCTCGACATCGCCGCCTGTGGGAGCCGCACTATGGGGAATCGCCTCTCGGTGTTTTCGTCGATTATCTGGCTCCCTCAACACCCAGACACCCAAGAGCCTAGCTTGTGAGGGCCGCCTCCATGTTAGATTTGTGGAATCTTGTTGTAACCATGATATTGATTCCATCTGGTTTTGAGTCCAAATCCAATCTGCATTTGTCCTTTTGTGTTGAACTTGTATCCTCCCTCCCTTTTTTTGTTCGATTTTTCTTGAATGGGGAGGATGCCGTACGGACTCGGACTTATGGACGAAAAAGAGTGGTGACGACTAGAAAATTACAGATTTTTTAAGTAGTTAAGATTTATCAAATATAAGCAAACAAACTATATATATATATATTAACTAATTAAAAGATTAGTATTTTTCCTTTCTTCACAATCTGTTTCTTCCGTCCGTTCGTCCGTCCGCGCGATTTTTCTTCGCCCACGCGTTCGTCCGTCCGCGCGATTTGAGATTAAAATCGAAACCGATACAAAATCCAATCGGATAATCCTACTTAGAGAACCCAAATAGAAGGGGGAAAAAGAAAATTTTACCCTTCACAGAGAATGAAAAAAAAAGGGGCGAAAATTCCTAACCTCCCCACAGCCGGTTGCCGCAGACACCGCGCGGGAGTCCGCCGTTGCCGACGCGCGCGGGAAGATCTACCGCCGCCGCCGGCTGTCGCCGATGCAAGCGGCCAGTACTCCGCCGCCGCCGGCCGTAGCCGATGCCGCCGCGGGGAGACGATGGGGGAGGGGCGCCGGGGCAAGGCCACTCGAAGGCGGCGCACTCCCCCTTGGGCGAGTGCGCGCACCGGCGAGGGGGCATGCGCCGGCGCCGCCTATGAGCGCCATAGCTCCGCCGTGAGAGAGGGAAGGGAGGAGAAAACCTAGGGTTTTCGTTGGCAGCCGGGGGAGGGGGGGTTGTCCCTCCGATCTCGATGTCCTGCCGTCCGATCGAAGCCCTAGAGATCGGACGACCGGTGTTGGCCGGGCCGAATTCAGCCCAAGAGAGAGGCGTGTGGCACCCACTTTCCCGGCCCAGGCCCAAGTTGAGGCGTGGGAAAGGGGGAGGTGGTGAGCCCGCGCGCGCTTAGAGGCTGTGGGCCGGCCGAAGGAAGTCTAGTTTAGGTCCCTCGGTGGGGGGGGGGCAAAGAAAAGAAGTTTATTTCTAGCAAAATGCCCGTGCTTCGCTACGGTGTATTTTCACATAGTATATTTGTTTTTAACCGAAGTTATTTTCATACTGTTTTGTTACTTTTGCTCACTAGAAAAAGTATCAAATATAGGTGACACCGCTTTTTTTTCTTGTTTTGGCTAATTAAAAGATTTATATTTTTCATTTTGTCACATAGTCTGTGCGGTGATTTTTCGTCCGTCAGAGACAAAGAACACAAGAACACATCTTAACTAATTGAAAGAGCACAAATAAAACTGAAGTATGAATCGGAGACAAGAGCACAAGAACACAAGAAGAAAAATTGATACGGAAAGAGAGGGTGCCGTCGTTGCCGCCGTCGCTGGGACGTCGGTCCGTCGCCGGCTCCCTTCCTGCTGGATCCGGCGGAGGGGAGGCCGTGCCGCCATTGCCTCCCTCCTCCCGCTGGATCCGGGACACATCCGGGACGCCAGATCTGGGCTGCTAGGTCGCCGCCGCCTCCCCTCCCATTGGATCCGGCGGAGGGGAGGGGGCCGCCGCCGCTGGGCCGCCAGGCCGCCACCGCCTCCCCTCCTCTCCCACTAGATCCGGTGGAGGGGAGGGCATCGCCCCTGCACGCCACCTCCCGCCGGCAGTCGTTGCTGACGGGCAGGGGGAGTCCACCGCCGCAGTCGTCGCCGATGCCGCGCGGAAGATGAGGTCACGAGAGGGAGACGACGGGGAGGGGCGCCGGGGCAAGGCCACTCAACGGCCGCGCACTCACCCACGGGCGAGTGCGCACACCGGCGAGAGGGCATGCGCCGGCGTCGTCGATTTTCGCTTTTCCGGTGAGGGGGTGAGGAGGCTAGGGTTTTCACCGGCGGCTGGGAGGGATGGGGTTTGTCCCTCTGACGTCACCGCCCGATCGTCTGATCGAAACCCTAAGATTGGACGGCCGGCATTGGCTGGACAGAATCTGGCTCAAGTGGAGGCGCACGTGGGGCTGCTTCCCCGGCCCAGGCCCAGGTTGCAGCCTGGGGAGGTGGGAAGTGCCCGCACGTGTACATAAAAGGCCGTGGGCCGACCGGCCAGGCCGGGAAAAAGTCTGTTCTAGGTTCCTCAGCAACACTTTTTTTGGTCACTGTACACACTTCGTAATCATCCGGTGCAACGCACGGGCACTTTTTCAATATATATATATATATATATATATATATATATATTGAACGGTTCAATTTAGATTTAATCCAAATCACATACGAGCACACCAAGCTGTTATCTTCCTGCCAACCCACACGGGACAGGGGCACACGGCTGGGGTTTGGGAGCAGGAACACGGCATTGGACACGTGACGCTGGTGGACTCGACATACGATCGATGTGCGGTGCGCCAATGTGCTGCACGCCCGCGCCGTGCTCTTCCGACGCCGACGACCGATATGAGCAAAGATGAATTGGGAAGTTAGGGTTGTTCAGCTAGTCAACATTTTGACCACAATAACAAGGGTGAACCTATAGATGGCCAAAAGGCCCGCTCGACACAGCCCGGCCTAGGCACGGCCACCAGCCATCGGGCTGGCACGGCCCGATAGGCACTTCGTGCCGGGCCCCGTGCCGGCCCATGGGCTGCGCCTCCCGCCCAAGCACGGCCCACAAGTAGTCGGGCCGTGCCGGGCCGGCCTGAAGGCACGAGTAGCCCATCGTGCCTTTTTTTAAATAAGTCTATTTTCCCTCCCTCTTCTTTGGGCTGTGACATATATATAGCTAAAATAAGTCTATTTTCCCTCCCTCCTCTTTGGGATGACATATATATAGCTAAAATAAGTCTATTTACAACCCTATTCCTTAAACCTTGGCATATAATATGTCTATTTTTAGTCCCTATTGTTTATGTGCCGTGCCGGGCCTGGCCTATGGCCCATTGTGCCGTGCCGAGCCGGTCCAACGTGCCGGTGGAGGGGCCCAAGCACGGCCCGGTGGTTGGGCCGGGCCAACATGGGCCCGACCCCCGTCAGGCCGTGTCGTGCTTGGGCCGGACCAAAATGTTGTGCCGTGTGCCGGGCTGTCAGGCCTCGGGCCTTTTGGCCATCTATAGGTAAACCACAGACGCATCAATGGGCATAGGTTGTGGGCATGAGGCCCAATAATAGCTCCAGTGCCTCGGCAGCGAATTTATTGCGCTCGCGTGTCTCGGCAGCGGCCAGCGGGTGTGTCGTTCGTGCCCTCGCGTCAGGGACTTGCGCGCACCGTAGGGGTAGGGGTACTCGCGGGCCCTGACGAGGGCGAGGTATGGCTTACTGCGCCAAACCTCACCCTACCGAGCGCTCTGCCACTGGGTGGGAGGGGAGGCGGCGGTGGTCTGGTGACGGCCTGGCGGCGGTGGATCCTCGGGGTGACGGCGGCAGCAGTGGCGGTTCTGGTAGACGGTGACGGTGAGCAGCGGTGGTGTCGGTCTTGTTCTTTCAATGTTTGTTGTGTGATGTCTGTGATTGATGTTGGTTGATTCAGGAGTTCATTGTCTGTAATTTCTGTGATTGATGATGGTTGATTCAGGAGTTCATTGTCTGTAATTGATGTTGTAGTTGAGATTTTGGGGCAACGCGGGGTGGATGCGCTTGATGCATCGGCTCGATCGAGCCTTTTTTGTCTCGCGTACACCTCAAAGGTTAAAACCGGCACCAATCACTTGGAGTCATTAGTGCCGCCTCCATGATGCCTATTGAAAAAACCAGCACCTAAGATGATTTTCCAACCGACACCAAAAGGGTTTTCCGCAGTAGTGGTTGTTGGCTGTGAGAGCCGAGCCACCAAAAGTCTCGTGTGTTCTTGTTATCATATATACACTGTGTTGTGTGTGCGTTTAGCTTAGTGTGTTCGAGAGAAACACCAAACAGAGAGCTAAGGGATTTGGCTCCTTACATCGACAAAAAATGAACATAAACACACGAACAAATCAAAAATCCATTGGTTTCTTTACTGTGCACCTTACTATCTTACATAGTACAGCCACAGGCGTACACAATACGAGCACACTCACCCCACCACTATAAGCACCTCCGAAAGATTGACCAATATATTTTGAGTTTGACGAACCACTGCGTGAATAATTAACCGTAAATTCGAGCACGCATGTTAAGTGTAGGACTTGAACCTGGCAGACTTGTTTCATTACAAAGAACATAACCATTGAGTTACGCTCACTTTCCACTACTCCCTCCGTCACTAAATATAAGATTTTGGTTAGATGTGACATATCCTACTATAACGAATCGGGACATAAAGCCTGTCCAGATTCGTTGTATTAGGATGTGTCACATCTAACCAAAATCCCTTTTATTTAGGGACAGAGGAAGTATCTAACAGTAGTTGGTTATGCTAGTAGTCCAATAGTTCGAATCCACTTTATATGAGTAAAATTTACATGTATGGTATGGATAGTACACACAAAAGCATCTCTAGCAGGCGCAGATCATAACCCCTGAATAATAGTAAACCCTACTAAAGCCCCCGAAATAGGAAGACCCTATTTATCTAAAGAAATATATGTGTAAATTTTTATAAACCAAACGTCTTATAACATGGAACGGAGGGACTCTGAAGACTTTTCTTTTTTCAAAGATGCATTATCCATATATGGAGACTCGTATCATAATGAAGCTTGTACACAAAATGTATACAGTAATCAGGACGTAATTACAATAAAGTATGATCAACTTTATTAATTATAAAAAAGGTATGCCACTGAACCTCATTAATTAACAGCTCCCAATTCAAGTAGCCAACTTCTTAAGAACATAAGAGCAGCTCCTTGTCAGATGCAGATAGCCGTCACTCTCCATGACGACCTTGAGATTATCAGGATCCGCCATGAATTTGAAGCAAGCATCCTTGAGCCCCTCACAGTGATGCTGCTCAGCCAACGTCAACGCCGTAGCCGCCGTGCTGGCGTCGACGTGGCTGCACAGCGTGTCCTCGCACATCAGCTTCAGCCTCTCCATGCCGTACCTGTCCGCCGCGACGAGCAGATGCTGCGCCATGGCTACCACCTCGTCGTCGTCTACCTTGGGCAACGAGTCGTTGTAGATGAAGTGGAGCATGGCCTCGAACACCCTCGGCTCCATGTCGTGGACACGGATCGTCTCCCTGTCGTTGTGACGGCTCGTCGCCATCGGGCCGAAGAGCTCCGCCATGAACACCGGCGACCGGGCGGCGAGCACGCACCGGTGCGCCGCGAACGTCTCGTCGCCGACCTGGAGCGTGACGTCCGCCCCATGCCCGCCGGAGAGGAGGCTCCCGAGATGCCGGTGCATGTCCGGCGGAGGCACGGCGACGAGCGGCGTCGGAGCAGCTGGCTCGATGATGGTCTCCTTGAAGACGGTGACGTCGCAGCGGAGGACGAAGCTGTCGTCCCTCAGGTATGGCGACTCCTCCAACGTCTTCCTCTCCACGAATCGGGGGAAACCCCAAGCCTTGGTGGCGGCGGAGGAGAAGGTAACCGTTGAGGAGCAGCTCCGGCTGTGCGCCGCCACCGGCTGATGCTCGTCGTCGTCCTGGTCGAGGAGACTAATGGTGAAACTTGCATTGGCGTCGCCGATGGCGGCGGCCGTGCTACACAGGTTCAGGTAGATGGATATCCAGTCGCCGTCGCCGGGGGAGGCCGGGCTGCGTTTGGGGTAGTATCTTATGCACCAGCGATGGCCGCCGACGTCGAAGCTGCCGGAGTCGATGAACTTGCCAACGCCGAGGCCCTTGACCCCGGCGGCGTACCCCTCCATCTTGAGCACGTGGTACCCGGACATTGCCTTGACGACGCTGGACGACCTGCTCGGCTCCGGCACGTCGCCGGTGGCGGCGTCGGAGGTCGCCGGAGAGTTGGACGCCATGTTCTTCTAGTTGGAGATCGCGTGCAACGCAACAGGTTTGGTTGATCGTGTAGATATGTCAGCCACGCTTAATTAATTGCACGGTGATTAAATATAATTTACATCGTGATCGAGAGTCCAAATATATTCAGCCAGATCGGATCGGGACTCTTCCCAACTGATCGAGGAGCCCAACAGAATCAAGCAGAAACAAGAATCGACGCTACAAAATGGGCATAAACAGTCCAACGAATAAAATAAAAACCCATTATTAGTTTCTTAATTAAAGGTGCACCGTAAGTATATATCTTACACTACAAACATATATAGAACTCTCACAACACACGCACATTCATCCAAGTGGCACACATGTTAATTATTTTGGGCTCGACGAAATCACCGCATGCGCCTCACTGAATGAATAATCAATCGTAAATTCAAGCACCCATGTAAGTGTAGAACTTAAACACAGGTAGGCACAAGAAACCCAACCAATTGAGTTACACTTACTTCGCTACTATCTTACACTAGTTGGTTATACTAGTAATTCAATAGTTCAAATCCACTCTATACTCCAGTAAAATTTACACGTATAGTATGGATAGTAAATATAACAGAATCTCTAGCAGGCCGCCAAAACAAACTCCCTAAACAGTAGCAGGGACCTTACTAAGCACCAAAATAGGAAGGCCCCAAAATCCTCCTCCATATAGCTTTCAGGCCTTGAAGTGCTAGATAATCAGTGTTGGATCATAAGAATACCTGGCATCAGTGTCAGGTATTCTTATGACCATGCACTAATGATCGGCCTCCTTATGTATTTATTTTGGCATCAGAAAATTTCTCGTATCAGCGAACGTACTGGTGGGCGTCGCGCGTAGAGAGATGTTCGGAGGCGTACTGTTCTCCCGTTGAGTTGGGTGAGTAACCCGAGATCAATGGCCCTTTCTAGCATGGCCTTTAAGGGGTCGATGGCCAGGAAAAAGAGAAGAGGGGAGAGCGGATCCCCTTGACGGAGCCCTCTACCGTGCCTGATGGTAGTACCCGGGGAGCCTTTGAGCAAGAGTCTTGTGGAGGAGGTTCGAAGGATGTTTGCGACCCAATTTATCCATCTCTCCGGGAAACCTTTACTGCAAAGGAGGTCAAGAAGATAGTCCCATCTGACCCTGTCCAAGGCTTTTGCAATGTCCAACTTGAGATAGCCTATATTTGGAACTTCATTAGTATTAAGTCAAGTTAGCACGCAAGTATAATGCTATACCTTTTGATTATTAGGTATAGGATAACTGGTAGTTTTCATTATGGATTCACCTTGATTGGATGAGATGAGAAAAATACACATTGTGTGTGTGATCTGGATATATCTTCATCGCCTTTAGTTTTCTGATCCCTCTCTCTATATATATGCTCCTCACAACTATATATATACATTTCTTCTTTTTTATGTTCCTCGCAGAAGCATAATGTGCAAGCTTCTAGTGCATATTTGTACTGCAATGAATTGGCATGTGAAAATAAATATCAAGGGTACCTTCAAGTTTACTGGAGTGTGCTAGCTAGCATCTTAAACGGCATGCAGTGGATGTGAGATTAATGTTGCATCTATCTTCGCCATGTGTGTTCCTTTTCTCTTACTGCGACCATTTTGTTTGCTGACAACTATGAAAATTCTATGACTGTTAACTGCTGCATGCCAGCATTTTGTTGCCAATTATATCCTTTTTAACTCAAACGGAGGTGGGCTCTACATTTTTTTTAAAAAATTTACTTTACAAAACTAGCCTACATTAGCCTGGTGTTTGGACAGATGGCGCGGCCGCCCGGCCTATTTAAACCCATCCAAAATTTAGAAGGCTCTAGGTTGTGCATAAATGATACTGTTCCATTGGTTTATGGATGACTAGGTTAGGAGGTGAGACACAAATATGACCACACAACCAATTAATTAAGCTGATGTTACTTTTGGACAAATTGCGGAATACGTCAAGCCAACCTGACATAGTAGAAATGAAGATTAGGAAAAAAAAAGAGTTGGAATGGCTGCAATACACCGCAATTATGTTCTACAGGCTGTTTGGTTCTTAACTATTTTTTTTACAGGGCTGCTTGGTTCTACAGGGCTGTTTGACACACTTTAGATAACTCACTTTAGATAAGAGTGTGGCTTTGACACACTTTTTATGGCCTGCAAATTGTAAGCCACACTTGTGGCAAAATTAGGCAAATGACTGAGTCTACGTTAGCTGTACGCTAACCAATGATCCCTTTGGTCACAATATGTCTCTGAATGTTCTAATAAAAAGAAAATCATTAATGAACACCTGAGACCGGTACAAAATTAAGATGAGGCATGGCAAGACAAAGCGGGCAGTTTTCATAAACCGGATAATTTGGCACTATATATGTGGCCCCAGAACCAGAAGAGTTGGCCCTGCTTTAATTTGGTACAGATGCAATGGACAGATTTGGCCTAGCTATCTAAACTTTGATCGTTATACTAATGGTTGTAATCGAAATTTATGGTGAGGTCATGGAGGAAGAGAGACAACAATTAACTGAATGTCGACGATACGATCGACGATAGGGACATCTCGCGTCGGCCGTGTGATTGATGAAAACAAAACAACAAACACACAGAAATAGGAAAACCCTGTATTTTATTAATCATGATTCATTGACATAAATATTTACAAATACATGAGAGCTCCCGCAGGAGTTCGCCTTTTGCCTTCGCGAGAAATGCTTAATGGAAAGGTATGCTGACTGGAGATTGCGTGCAGTCCGCTGATTCCCGGCGCCTAGCAATGAGACTACCGGTTAATTACATCCACAGGAGCGAGCCTATGGAACACCTGTAGCGCCCGTTCCGTCGTGGCGCCTAGCGGGAAAATTATCTCTTAAAAACCCTAATTGCGAAATTTGTTTCTTCGCTTATTGTCTAGTGTCCGTGCCATCTCAAGATCTCAAATCCCCGATCTATCGTCGAGTTCAATCCCGAATCCAAATCTCTCAAATCAAATCCCTCCGCAAAAGTCTATTTTGCCTCCCCCGGGTTCGATGGGCCGAATCTCTCTCGGCCCATCTCCCCCTCTCTCCCTGGCGCTCTCTCTCTCTCTCTCTCCCTCTCCCCCTCCGCTCCGCCCGCGCGCCGCGCGCGCGTGAGCCGCCCGCGCCGAGCCCCTCCTCCCTCTGCCGTGACGCCCCCGCTCCCCTCCTCCTTTTTCTCAAAGCGGCAAGGAGGCAAGCCCCCTTTTCTCTCCCTCTTTTCCCCTTTTTCCGTCACCGCCGGCGTCATCCTCCTCCCTCCGCCCTGTCGCCGATTTGGACGCGAGCGCCGAGCGCCAGCTCGCGCCTTGACCACCCTAAGTCGGTTCCCAAACCGCCATTGCCGCCCTTAAAGCCCCGGGCGCCCTCCCTCTCTTCTCCTTCCATCGCCTCCACTCCATTGCCGCCGCCCCCGTGCTCTGTTCGCAGTCACCGTTCGTCGTTGCGCGTGTCGGAGGAGCCGGCACGAGCAAGGACGCGGAAGGGGACTCCGGGCGCGCCCTCTCCTTCCTCTTCCCCGGCCCGAGGCCGGAGAGATTACTCCTGCGCCGTCGGCCTCTCGTCACTGCGCCCCGCCCGCACGGAAGTGCCTCCCTCCGTTCTTCCTCCTCGCTCCATCTCCCCCCCTTAGTTTTCAGTGGTAGCACGAGTAGCCTCCCCGTAGCTAGCCGGCGCCGCCCCGACCGTTGCCGTCGCTCGCCGTGTGCTCGCCGCCGTCGCCGCCCGAGCTCCGTAGCACCCGCTCGTCGCCGGCCTCGCTCGGCGTAGCTCCGCCCAATCCGACGCTAGCATCGGATTCCCGTAGCCGCGTAGATGCTCTCGCCGCCGGGAATCGGCCCCTCGTGACCTCGTCGCCGTTTCCCCCTTCTTCCGCCGCCGGATGCCGCCGTCGCAATTCGCCGCCGTCGGGCATCCTCCGGCGAATTCGAGCCGTTGGCTCATCTCCTCTCGTTCTGTGCAGCTACCCGGTGTGCTCGCTTTCGCCTGTATCGCCGTGGTTCGCTCCGCCGCTCGCCGCTGTCGTCCGCCGTCCGTTCCGGCCGGCATCGTCGTCTACCTCCCGCCGGCCCGCGTGGCAGCCACGTAGGCGCCACGTCGGCGCCAGCTCAGCCAAAGACCGGGTCGAGCCGACCCCGGTCAGTCCCTCCCCGTGCGCGCGTTCCACCGCGAGCCGTGAGGCTGCGCGTGGGCCCGCCGCATCCGCGTCCACCGCGCGCGGCGCGCGTGCACCGCGTCCCTCTCCCACCCTAGCGCCGCGCCGCGTGCTCCCTCCGCACGGTGAGCCGAGCCGCTGACAAGCGGGTCCCACCCGGGACCACGCGTGGTGAGCCCGGTCCACCGGCTCTCTCTCTCCTCCCCTCCCGCACGCACGCGCCTTGGGCCGCCTTGGGCCGGCCGGCCCATTTAGCTCGGCCGGACCGCTCCATTTCTCTCGGGCCGCGCCCTAGCCGCCCGAGGAAAAGTCTATTATCCCTCCCTCTTTCCTTTTCTTTTCTTTTCTTTTTCAAAAAGGATTTAATTAAATCCTTTTTCCTTTAGACCAAAAATCCAATAATCTTAGAAATTCAATATCTTCCCAACCGTAAATCCGTTTGACTCCGTTCAACTTCCAAAATTCCTCAAATCTCGAGATCTACCTAATGGCACGCTTAGAGGTCATTAATAGGGCTTTATTTTCGCCGTTTGTTGAGTTGTCCCGTTTCGCGTGTAGTTTCGGAGCCCGAAGACCCGCAGTGCGAGGATTTCGAGGATCAAGCTCCAGATCTCGAGCAAGGCAAGCCACCTTTGAACATCTTGAGCCTATATTTGAATTTAATTATGTTGCTTGAAAAATATTATGCATTGATAGGACTGCACTTAATCTGCTTGTCCCGTCTGCAAGGCAGATTGGCGGACCTACCTAATTTGTTGCATTTGATCCTTCCTTTGTTAATTGTGATACCATGTCCCCTTGTAACCATCTAGTTGCGTCTCGATATTCGTGCACCCTGCGCGAGTATCGACGGACGGCTTCAAACTTAAAATTTTGAGTAACAACTTGGGTAAAACTAGAATTTTACAAAAGACTTGGAAAACCCGACACCTAGGTCGGTGCTTGCGAACTAAATGAATTTCCAAAACCGCGGACCGGGGAACGTACCAGGTGTACGGTTTCCCGCTCTTGCACTTAATGACCGTTTCCTTGGAATTTCATCCAAACATAAGACAAGTACGACCACATGGGTGGAATGGGACACCCCTGGCTGAGTAACTAGCTTATCAGGGGAGCCTTGATGCCGAGAGACATGTGGATTCGCCGGGGTGGTGTCGGGGAGGACCTCTGGGCTTCCTGGCACAGTATGATCTGGGACCTAACCTGTTGTTGGTCTGGGACCCCTCTCGTCGGCATATGATAAACCTGTGTCGGCTTTGGAAATGCCTTGTCATGAAAGCTTGGAGGTCTCCCGACGTGGCTGATCCCCACGGGCTGGGTGATCCGGGTTAGTAATGTCGTGTGGGTAAAGTGTACCCCCTCTGTAGAGGTTAACAAACTGTTCGAACAGCCGTGCCCACGGTCATGGGCGGATGTGAGGTGATTCCTAGCGTAGTTTTGTTTGACTACTGCTTGTGAAATTGCTGTTGTGAAAAGGGGTTCGATGTTTGAAAAAATCTGTAGCTGATGGGATCAGCTAGGCCCGGGTGGCCGTTTGAAAAGTTGTTGGCCCGGGTGGCCGTTGAAAAGCTGTTGGCCGGGTGCCAACCTTGTTTCAATTCTAAAGACTGATACATTGCACATACTCCGACCGGACGAGATGCACTGTCTCATCCGTGTCGTTTGAGAAGCACTCACTTAGTCGTTTTTAGAAAAGGGTTCAAATAAAATCAATTGCTAAAACAACAGCCTCTCCTTGAAGCCTGCATTAAACACTTATTTCCCCTGGCTTGCTGAGTACTCCCGTACTCACCCTTGCTCTATATAAATAATCCCCCCCAGTTGCTGAAGAAGATGAAGCGGATCCTGCTGATGAAGAGTTCTTCCAGGAGCAAGCCGGCTACGATGAGTTTTAGGGTTTCGGCCTAGTTCCCAAGTCGCGCCTGTGATGTTTGGTCCTAGTCCTGGCTTCCGCTTTCCTGTTGTAATGCAGTTGTGAGCTCGGGGTCTGTCCGCAGCCCAACATGACTGTACCTCTACTCTATAATAAAGAGACCTCTGTTGCTGTGATAATCTGTCTTCCTGTGATACCAGCACTGTTTCCTGGGACTGGTATCGAATAACAGGTTAATTTGGAGCGTCACGGGCTAGTTCCGGTCGGTACTAGTTCGGGGCGTGACAAGAAATGGTATCAGAGCCGACTCTCGTGGTTTCACGCAAAGCTATCAGATGTAAGCGGGCCTGGCCTGGGGGAAGGCGGGACGTTACAACACCTCCGATTAAAGTGCGCTTTGTGATCGTCGTCTTCAAAATTATTTGCTCGTCGAAGGTTGAGGTTGGTGCAGAGATTTAATGATAACTGTAATATAGGTGGCTTTGTTTTGCCAAAACCCGGTCACAATTTAATATCACCACGTCCATACATGAGTCAGGTATCATAATAAAGGGGATGACTTTTGCCTCGTCGGTGCCCAGTCATATATGCCGGCCTTTATTAGATGTAGATATATCGTTACTTTTGCCTCGTCGGAACCTAGTAACGTGTATCCGTTCCTATCTGTTTGGACATGTTAATAATATCGTGACACTAGCCTCGTAAATACTCGGCCATAATTTTTATCTTCCAAAGATCACTAATAGCTTCCATACGTGTGCATGGTAGCAAAATATATTTTGTAAAACACCGCTTAGATTGTCCAATCACCAATGAAAGTTGGACATATCTAACGCCGTTGTTATTGGTATCATAGTAACAAATAGATGATCCAATCTCCAATGAGGGTCGGACATCTAGTTTTGAGCATAGAAAATATCAAACAGTATTCGGATAATCCGATCGCCAATGAGGACCGGACCAGCCTTATACCATTGATTGTATAAATGGAGTTTGATGATAACCGTGTTTCGGCTCTCATCGATCTGGCTTTAATCATCGAGATCAAGATAGATTAAAAACACGCAGATGTTCCGATCGCCAATAAGGACCGAACATCTATTGTGTTTAATCTAGAAAATTAATATTTATTCAATGTGCTCACCATCCAGCGCAAATATCCTGAATGGCGGCATGTTGTCGATAAATGAATCGACTTGACGAATAACGCCGGCTGCGGTGTTTATTTTTCTCTGCAGCGGCGCTGGTTTGCTATCACCGGCAGGCTTCGATCTCCTCTCCTGATTTTCCTAATCTACTAAGAGGAATGGGATGAATGAAAATGGTGGTTGGGTGTCTCCTGTGGCGTCGTCAGCGTCCCCCGCTCTAGATGGGTTCTGCTCCTTATATAGACAGCGGCGGCGGCAACGATCTGCCTCATCTGTTCCGAATTCCTAGCGTAAGCCAACAAGATCACGCTTAATTTCCTTGATAAGGCAGCGCATAAGCATGTTAATTAATCTGTTGAGTTGTTCGAGATAAAATCATGTGTACTGATTGGATGATCCTGGAGTTAACGGTGCTAATGACGGTGGGCCTCATGTGTTTTAATCGCCACCGTCAATTTCTGAATTAGAGATAATGACCATACATGCTCATGCAGCAAAGCAAGTAAGGATAGCACTTGCTTATTTCTTTCCTTTTAATAGATCCAATCTTTTGAATCGTACATCGGATTTAAAATCCATTTGAACCATTACTTTCTATTCAAATTATACAACCAACTTTCTAAGGTTTGGTCTAATGGTTCTTGTCCTGCCTCAACTACATAATTCCGTATAAGTTCATGAACGGTGCACGGGTGCAGCGGTAACTACTGTAGGCAGCTCGTTCGGTTCACATGATTTTCAAAACGTAGGAATAGGAAAAACGTAGGAATACTACAGGAATACATGTGCAAACCTATGGATTGAAAAACACAGGAATTTTTCCTATGTTGTTGAGCAAGCCAATCAAAGGATGCAAACATTAGGTTGGAGTGGATTATTTTTTCCTATGCTTTTCCTTCAAAAATGGAGGAATGGAAAACTTTCCTATAGTTTTCCTATGGTGCATTCCTATGAAACGAATGGTAGTTTAAAACCCATTCCTATTCCTATACTTTTTCTTTGCAATTCCTTTGAAACGAATAAGCTGAGATCAGTGTTTCGTCCATGTATATCCAACTGATTCAATATGTCTCCTCGGACAGAGCCTTGCACCCTTAAATTCACACATGAAACTGTTGTGAATTGATACTACATATCCACATGCGCATAGCTTTGCAGCCACTCGCACGATCAGTATGGTTCTGAGTTAGTATATGCATTTAGAGATTTACTAAAATTCTAATGCTGCACACATGGTGCCAATATTAATATTTCTTTATAAAGGTTACTATCAGATTAGATTAATTGAGAGATCAAGAGAGACAAGAGGACATATCCTTCATTTGCCTCTAATTTTTTTTTGGCGGTGATCAATGGACAAATAAATTGTTTCGGTTGGAATTGGGGAGCCGTAATCTCTGTACACACCAGTGCAATGTCATGAGTTACTACCAGGATGGGACAGTTTCCCGAGTGCCTAAAGAAGCAGCTCAAAACACTTGGGATTCTGTTCCGGATGTGTCAGCAATAAGGAATGTTCAGATGGGAGCTCGAGGGCTTTTCCAACTCGTTTTGCCGTGTGTATTTGATGGCAGGTCTCAAGAAGTCCTGAGACTTCCCGTGCGTAGGTTGGGAGGCTCACTGGAATAAAATCAAGGAAAAATTAGAACCATGCCATTATAATTTTACAAAATTTATAAAAACACCCGAGGACGAGATACAGTGCAGCATCGCGGGACGGAAATCTTCCTTTGCGTGTACCTTCTCTTGTCCCATCCTGGTAGTGAGCGACTACTTTTAGATGCATGCCACATAACCAAATTCCTAATACCTTCCATGCCAATGCTACAAAATCGATAGTGTTTAGACACAAGAGATGAGCACTTGAGCAGCGTACATTTCACAGATCTAGTAAAATAGAAGAGAACTAGCTGATGAACCCAAAAAAATGGCAAGTGCGCTCTGTGACCTCCCGTACCTCTTTTATCACACATGGATCTTCGCTTTTATTTGCCACAATTCTCCTAGTTAATTCTCCGCTTCATGTGTAGTACCTTTGTAATAATGGAGGATGTGCATATCTCATACCGTGCAAAAGCCCAGAGTACGTAGTTTTCATTCCCCAAAATTTGTAAAAGCTAATGCGGATGCAAGAGTATTGTGTACATGTGCATAAAATTTGCAGCATTCCATTATGCTAAAAAAAACTTGTTGGGTACAATGTTGGCACACGCTCTAATCTGACTAAATAGAAATTAAACAACGACTACTTTATTTTCCTTAAGTTCTTGGTGTTAGAGTCAGTTACAGTTTAGTACTTGGGGTTATACTATGTATAGAAATAGTGTAAAAGTCCGATTATGTCCTACGATCTCTCTTAAATAGAGATGCACACGGGTTGTAACTGCACATGGGGACTTAGCATCGTGAGAGTGAGCGGATGCTAGGTGTCCAGCCGAGTGTTATTGTAACTCTGATACGCTGTAATTATGCTGGATCGAGGAGGTGGGCATGAAAAAATCGCTATTTTCTTAGACATTTTCAGGCATGCGGGCTGTCCAACCACATGAAAAAAAAGGTTTTGGCCGCATGAAAAAATGGTTTTTTAGTAGTGACCATGCCACGGTGTCATCATTGTGTGAGGATCTTCTTAGGTGTTTCTTTTGCATTTGGTTTCCGATGTGCTATCGGAGCTGGCTATATATCTCTTGTGGTGATTACTTATAGTAGCAAAGTTAAATAATGGACGTTGCTACGCAGTGTGTAGTAGCACCATGGGCTAATCCGGTGACCTCTTCCTTGCCACAAATAGTGTCATGCGCCGTCCTCCTCTTTATCAAAAATAGTACCGCGTGCTATCTTCTGCCTACCGTTTCTTTTTTCCGAAACAACACCATCCTACCATGCATAGTGTTTGTTGGCTCCAGATTACACGTTCATCCTAGAAGGCATGTTTGCATTACCTGTGACCATTGCATGTCTTTTCTTTTCCTTCTTACTCCCTCTATCCCAAAATATAAAGCATAACCACTCAAAACACAAAAACCAAGAAAACATTTAATCATCTTGGTTGGATCACGTTGATGAATGCAAGCAATGTGATTGGGAGGTTTGGTGGTATAAGATTTAAAACAAATCAATTTTATAGGACCAAGAAATGCTAGTTAATATATGCATGTATGTACGCCTTATATTATGAGACATTATTAGAGAAAAGTGGTTGTGCCTTATATTTTGGGATGGAGCGAGTATATAATTTTCTCTTAAATGACTCATCCGATCTATGATCCGATTACACCGTTGTGTTCGTAACAATTAAATATTTATAACAAGATCTCATATTATTATATTTTTGTTAAAAATTACAAATTACTTTCCTAATATATCTAAATTACTTTTAGATTTCATTAAATTACTTCTCACAAATATAAAAGTTAACTCAATAAATCCTAAAAGTAACTTACATATATTATACAATACATATATTATACAAGTAACTTAAAACAAAAGGAAAGTAACTTGTCACAACATCAAAAGTAAATCTATTGTGGGGTAAAAACATAAGTCTATATAGAAATTAAATTTAATCAACATAATAGAGCTAACCAATAAAGTAAATTGTTCACTGAATGTCTAAAAATAATTAGAGTATATATCGGATAAATATAAGAAAAAATTCCATAAGAGGAATAAAAGGCATGCACGTTCACATAATTGGTTGGCACAAACCCATTCTACCACGGCGTAGAATTCTCCCATATGATTTGTTTTATTTTTTTTCAGCCTCATCTTTTCGTTTATGTTTACACTTATCAGTCAAAATTTAAATTTTCAATCTTAAATTTGAAATTGATTTTGGGGTTTTTTTCATCGAACTTTATTTTTCAGCCTTTGCTTTTAAATCGTTTCGAGAACACATATATAAAAGTTTTATTCACAAATTATTTTTCGTTTATAAATATCCCGTTTGGCTTATTCCCTACATAAGCAAAACGATGGGAAGCTTTAATCTCCACTCTGTTCCTTTCTCTCCCGACTCGCGTATATCTTGAATAACGTGTCGAATGCTCATGAAGAATTTAACTTTTACCCTAGAGAACGCGTCGAAGATTCCCTAAGAATTTAACATTTCACCATTTTTTTACTACGACTTCTTTATGATCCAATGGTTGATATTGTATTTCTGTTGCATCCGATGGCTCACGCATCTTGCTTATATGGACTTGCCAGTGGACACTGAGGTCCATATATATACTGATTAATGGAAGTGATTTGAATCCCATCAATGGCTGCAAGTTCTGGATGATACTCACGGACAGGACGACAATACATGATGGACAGGCCCAATCTGCAATCCTCTCATGTGTGGGACTGCACAATAGCGACACCATTGTGTTATTCCCCACACCGGCTAGCATAGCTTGATGACCATGGGCAGGCCATATGTGTTGTAGAGTCGCTGAGATTCCTGATGTTTCTCATGCCTACACATGTAAATGTTGTAGGCATGCGACTGTGGGATGGCAACATATGTAAGAGAAGTGCAATGTTGGTAATGCAACTCTTGCACAATATGTGATGAGAACTTGAAAAGCATGTTATAGTTAAGGAAATTAAAATATATAGCAACTGCTCACGTTACCCTTTCAAAAATCCAAGTTTCGCGTCTACGTACGTACTTATTCAAAGGAGCTTCGTTTAGGCCCTGTTTAGTTCATGAAATAAAAATTTTTGGGTGTTACATCGGATGTTTGACATGATGTTGGAAAGGGTTTTCGATCCAAATAAAAAAACTAATTTCATAACTCGCCTGAAAACTGCGAGATGAATCTTTTAAGCCTAATTAATCCGTCATTAGCACATGTGGGTCACTGTAGCACTTATGGCTAATCATGGACTAATTAGGCTCAAAAGATTCGCCTCGCAATTTACATGTAAATTGTGCAATTAATTTTTTTATTTTATCTATATTTAATGTTCCATGCATGCATGTGTCCATAGATTCGATGTGACGTTTTTGGGAAAAAAATTAGGAACAGCCTTAATTACACACTCACATAATATAGCATTATAGTCCTCGAAAGTTGGGGATGCAAGGCCGCAATTGTATTCAGTACATACTTGAATGACCAGTAAAGATATATGCTATTATGCATGTATCTAGCTATTGCTACATTTTATGGTGTTGTAGGCCCAAAAACTGCAGCTGATCTAAGTCAAAAGATCATGAAAAAACTTCATAATGCCATATTCTAATTTTTTGAATTGTTTGTTCAGCACAGGAGTAGTATTTCACAACCACACATTAATTGGTGCAAAACCATAATGGACCGCATGTTTTTCACAATCCCATGCAAATGGCACATAAATAAGCTATTCACATAGCTTAATTATATTTGACTCTATAAGTGAGTTCACCGGTCAACCCACTTACACTCTTACTATAATGCATGATTAACCTCATACCAGTACAGCATGTTGCACCCTGCCATCCTATCAGTATTTAGCCGGCGAAAAACTAAGAGGTAGCGATTAGCGAAAGGATCGTGGGGTAATTAACTGGAATGCTCGGCCACACCTTTGATCACAGATAGAGGCCGGAGATGTAATACATTTCTATTATCTAAAAAAACACCTTTGATCACAGGGAGGTTATATTCACATTTCTGAAGAGAGAGAGAAGCTTCGATGGTCGAAGCTTGTGCATGATTATACATAGTAGTTGCTAATGTATATACATACACAAGCCATGTGATCGATCAGCAACGGATGTTGATGTGGACTCTAGATGATTAGGTTGATCGATCGATCAGCGCTTGGGCAATTAGGTTGTTAATGCGGACTATGGATGGTTTTTTTTTCTTGGACTCTCATCTCGGATGTTGCGGACGAAAAAATCCACCAAAATTAGGTGAAGACGGACGAAAATCCACCGGAATCCTTACCTATTTTTTAATTAGGTATAGATTATCAGATAAAGGATAATTGGTAATTTTCCTTATGGATTCACCTTAATTGGATGAAATTAGAAAAAAATGACTTTTTTTTGTTTTGAACGTAAGAATTAAATACAACTACGAATCACACGTTAGTTGCAATGAATATATATTAGCAGTTTAGCACATGCAATTAAAACGGCAAAGAAAGTACACTAATTCACCGCTAAATCGGCCTTGTTGTCTTGTCAGGAAAGGTGGAAGAACGTCCGGCCGGTCATAAAACAAGTAATTGATGTCATCCATAAAGTTTATATTGTGCTGCCAGCATACATTTGAGTGCAGCTAGCAGAGCTCAGATTACACACGCCGTGATAGTCAATCGCAAACAAAGACGGCGAGATCAGATTAATAGGTAGAGGTAGATTTTCAGTGCTCGCTTTTTAATTCCAAGAGCTGAGAGCACATACTGTTCTCCAGTCAAGGTTCCTAATGCTTCCCGTGCCAATACAAATGCGACTATACATGTGAATTAATGGTTCGTAAACAAACATGAAATATCATGCAGCTATAGCCATTGTGTGTGATCTGGATATATATTTCTGGTTGTGTTGGGGAGACAAGGTTCCTAACCTTACCTCCCGATACGGAAAATAAAGCACGTGAATATAATAAGATTAATTAAGTATTAGCCTTAAGAAAAACTTAAAAATGGATTAATATGATTTTTTAAAGCAACTTTCATATAGAAAACTTTTATAAAAAATACACCGTTTAGTAATTTGAAAAGCGTGCACGCGAAAAATGAGGAAAGTGAGTTGGGAATGAGGGGAAAAGAACACATCTCTCACTATACATGCACCTCACAACTATACATTTCTTCCTTTTTTTTGTTCCTCACAGAAGCATAATATAAGGTGCAAGCTTCTAGTGCATAATATACTGCAAATATGCAATGAATTGGCATGTGAAAATAAATCTCAAGGGTACCTTCAAGTTTACTGGAGTGTGCTAGCTAGCTAGCATCTTAAACGACATGCAGTGGATGTGAGATTAATGTTAATTGGAGATCTAACTTTGTCATGTGTGATCCTTTTCTCCGATGGCGATCGACCATTTTGTTTGCTGATAACTATGACAATTTCTATGACTGTTAAGTACTGACATGTCAGCATTCTGTTGCCAAATAGTAGTATATATCCTTTTAACTCAAACGGAGGTGAGCCCCTACATTTTTTTTAATTTACTTTATAAAAACTTGCCTACAAAGTTTAGCCCGGCCGCTCGGCCCATTTAAGCCCACCCAAATTTAGAAGGCTAAGGTTGTGTATAAATGATATTGTTCCAATGGTTTATAGATTTTTGTTGGATGGAGTCTAGATTCATTATATTAGAATATGTCACATCTAACCAAAATTTGTTAGGGACAATTTTGTTTTTACCCTCACTTTCATGTCTAATATTGATTTTACCCTACTTTTTAGGGTTTTTGATTTTTTCCCTACTTTTTTGAATCGAAAGAGACGTTTACCCCTGGTTTAAATGGAAGTTGGTGGGACCGGGTTTATGGCAGTAAAAAAAATAGAGAAATAAAGGAAAAATGGTTTTTCGAATTTGTGTTTTACCTTCTTACCCCTTGAAAATATCTAACAGTCTTTTCTTTTCACGCACACAAATCGACTCTTCCCGAATCGTGCGGCGGCAGCCAGGCGGTGGCGACGGCGAGTGGGCTAGGGCGCAGCTCCTCCCGCCGGCGAGCAGGAGAGGGGTAGGCAGCGGCGAGCGGCGGCCAGGCGGCGGGGAGAGGGGTAGGCGGCGGGGAGCGGGCGGCAGCCAGGCGACGGGGAGAGGAGCGTAGGCGGCGTCGAGCTTCCTTGCCGCCGGCATCGAGCTTCCTGCGCACCTCTCTTGCCGCCGACAAAATGGGGTCTTGATCTCTCCCCCGGTTACCCATTTGATTGTTAGCTCGTACTTGATTCCCTACTCCCTAGCAGCTTGATGCCATACACGCGGCTATGCCAGTGATCTTGCTCCTTCTTCCTCTCCCATCTCATCTCCAGGCTCCAGATCGACACCCACTGCAGCCTAACGGCAGCACAGGCTCGCCGCCAACACCGCGTCCATGGGGGCACGGTTAGATGAGACCATGGGGTTGTCAGGGGTATGCGGCCGCACTCGCCGAAAGCCGATTAACATCCCTGATCTCCGTGGAGGATCATTGTTTGGTGAGATTATGAGTTCGTTTGTTTGTGCTCACCAACTGTTTGAGGAAATGCTTCCGAGATTTCGAGTACTATATAGGCACTAAACATATCGATTTTAATGTTGTTGGTACAGATATGGCTCACTATCTGTCCAAATTGTAATCTCCAAATCTGTCATTTAATTTTAAAACATATTCAAAAAATAAATTTTCAAAGTCATATATAAAATAGGGGCAAAAACATAATTAAAGAATAGAGATGGGAGAGGGTATAAATGTCCTTTTGCCCAGTAGTTAACACCGTTAACTTCTCCATCCAAAACAGGGGTAAAAAAATTGTTCAGTTCAAAAAAGTGGGGCAAAAACGAAAACCCTAAAAAATAGGGGTAAAATTAATATTGGATATGAAAGTGAGGGTAGAAACGAAATTGTCCCAATTTGTTATATTTAGGTACAGAGGTCCTAGGTTATTAGGAGGTGAGACACAAATATGACCACAAAACCCAATTAAATAAGTTGATGTGACATTTGGACAAATTTCGGATTAAATCAAGCCAACCTGACATAGTCAGAAATGAAGAGAGGAAAAAAAAAGTTGGCATGGCTGCAATACACCGCAATTATGTTCTACAACTCGACCTCATGCTGCTGTCTGGAGAGAAATCCTGGCAGTCAACGTATACAACCTGTGAAATTTCATCGTCAGGTCAGATCGAAGAAAACGAAAAGGAAAAGATTTCGGTGCCTTCCTTGTATGTTCTTGCTCTGCAGTATGATCGGCTGATCACACGGCTTGTGAGTCTAGAGTGTCTGATGAGTTTAGTGGCGCAGTGTCCAATGGCAATTGCAACCACACACCTCAGAAACCTCCTAGGTACCACAAGAAGGTAGAAGGAGAGACGTAGATCAACCAAAATCCGATATGCCTACCATGCCTAAACGTATGATATCGAGCTAGGTTTGTCATACATGGGAACAGAAGATGAGTAGTAGAGCATAAGTGGACTAGTATCTGCTAGTGGTCAGCATTTCTACATAATTTCCTCTTTTATTGGATGAGCTGAGAGAAGCAAACACTTGCAAAGCAATATATATGGTCAGGGTATCATGTAATAATTTTGCACATGCAAGAGGCTGCACATATGTACATGTGGCCGGTGCAGTAGTAATTCATTGCTTTTAATCGAGTTTGTTCAGCTCGAATGAGAAGGTTCGTTCATATCAGAAACAAACGCTAATATGACCAGGGTCATTGGTGTCAGTTCGTCGATAGAACAGGTAAAAATGAGGCACTTATTAGTGCTAGTTTGTAGTTAAAACCGGCAGTAATTACTCCAACCCAAATTTGAAATTGTAGTACCGACTTATTACTACAATTTGAAATACGGGCATACAGCGCTATGGTGGTACTATTATGTAGTAATGAGCCCAATCAAGAGACCAAATAGATCTCCGAACAAATCCGACCCACTCATGCACTCAACCAATTTAGACCCATTTTATACAGAAATTGGAAAGTTTAGCAAAAGAGTTCGGTCTGCTCGATTGAGCACAGGCGGCCGGCTTTCGTACAGTTGCAACAAATGAATTTATGGCCAACGTACAAGTCAAGGGTGCAGTTCTTTCTTAAAAACAAAACACATTAATTCTAGCCCTCTAAGCACCTCAAAATACTAAGCCAACATATCTTAATATTTACAAACTCACCATAGACGTCTCACTCTCGACGAATATATACATCGCTTACCACTGAAAAATAATTAATCCTAAATGTGAGCCTAAATGTGAGCGTATGTGCTAAGTGAACTTAAATCTTGGTAAGCAGGTTCCACTACCAGGAACCACAATAGCTCAACTAGTGAGCTTTCTTGTGGTGGAACACGCTCAATTGAGCTCAAGTTGTCGACTTGACGGTTGATACGGATAATCGCATTTATAACTAATTAATCTTTTAAATGTATCTGACGTACTAGTCAACAACGACTCATCCATGTGGTGATTTAGTTAATTTTAAGACACTCATGTGAGTATAGTGTATGTGCGTGTATTTATAGATTGAGGTGAGTGTGTGTAGTTGTGCACTATATATTAAGCATCTACATTTGTACTATATTTTTTCTTAAAAAAAATAATATTGGACGGCCGGCCGGCACTACGTACCGAAACTTGTCGTATATACCACTATAAGTTTATCTTTGCCTGCTGATTTCATCAAAAATAATTTTGGGCAGCCAGTCCACGCTATCAGTATCAGGAGTTCTCATATAGTGCCGCTTAGCATATTCATGAAAACGATCCGTCGGTTTATATATCTTTCTCTGCTGATCTCACCAAAAATAATATTACGGCTGGCGGCCGGCCGGCACCACCAAAACTTGTTGTTTTATGATCGTCGTACCACTAGTCAGTTTTTCTCTGCCTGCTGATATCATCAAAATAGAGAAGGACCCGTAAAATTGCTCCATCAAAATATATAGTTTCGGACAGCCGGCTGGCAACATATATACGACACCAAATTGTCCCGCGCGCGTTGCTTGGAAACTACTATCCTTATCTGCGTGATGATTTCATCAAAATTACTCTCCTCGTAAAAAAAACCTAAAAGAAAAATATGATTCTTTCTAGTATAACAAATCTATATAGCCATTTGTCTAAATTCAATGTGACCCTGCTAAGCAAAGTTTTTTTTATGGAGGGGTATTAGTTAATGGAGAACTGACCAGTGATTTAGCCGACGCTATTAGTTAGGCCGGGTTCAGTTCTCAACTTTTTCTTTAAACTTCTAATTTTTTCATTACATTAAAATTTTCGTACACACATAAACTTTCAACAATTTTCAACTTTTAATTTTTAGTCAAACTTTCAATTTTGACGTGGAACCAAACACACCCTTAATGCAAATACTTTTCGGTTAAAAAACGACAGACGAGCCACGTGGCCCACGTCACCGGTCACATCACTTGCTCGCACCGTTCCAGGCCTTTCTTTTCCGAAATTTTGACAAAATATCTCTTTTACAAAACTTATTTAATTTGAAGAATAAACGATAACAAAATTTAATTATAGAAATAAATCTTTTGTTCAGCACAATTAAACCTCGATGACGCTGAGTTATAACGTTTTATCTGAGATGACGCAGAGTTACCTAATCATCAAGCTCAGTGCCAAGGTAACCACCAAACTTAGCTCCTTGGCACTGAGCTCTCTTCACTGAATAAAATGAAGTGCATATTATTTCTTTGGAGAAGCGACTCTAGTTCAGTCATTGCATCTTTTTGTGTTTTTTTTCCTCTTGATCTCATCTGTGAAATTATTTTATTTTGATTTTTTTAAAAAAATGAGATTTCTAATTTGTTTTATTTTGAATATAAAAAATATGAAAAGAGGTACGTAGTGTACTTTATGTTCTTTTCATATTTTTTTAAGTTCTTTTCATTCTCTTACTCTCATCTCTAAATTTGTTTTATTTTGAATTATTTTTAAAACATGACATTTGTAAATTTGTTTTATTTTGAATTTAAAACTATGAAAAGAAGTACACGTATGTTCTTTTTATTTTTTAAAAATTTCTTTTCATACGAAAGAACACTATTATATGTTCTCTTCATTCATCAAGGACATCAATTTATATATATTCGTATAATAATATATAATTTAATTTTCCAAATCACCATATAATATACTTTCTTTCATTTTTAAAATACAGAATAATTGAATTTACAAATAAAAAAATACTCATCTATTACAAAGATATTAGGAGAGTAAGAGAGAATAATAAACCTAAAAACATGCTTGGTCATTGACAGCCCCGATCACCATGCACTTTGTTTTATTCGGTGGAGCGAGTTCTGGCTTTCGAGGATTTGGTAAATTTACGTCACTTCGGACATGGGCTGTCGAACGATGTACTATCTCTGTCCTAAAATACATGTCATTCTAAATTGTTTACCATATACTAAAGTTAAGAGAAAAAGACTATAATACCCCTTAATAGCTAATGTATAGTTAGATGTGAGATGGTGGTTGGGGGTAGAAAGAGAAGAAATTTAAATTAGAAATGGTTGATGTGATAAGTAGTACTTTCGAGTGATAAAGACAACTTTTGAATACTAGATAGATAATTTTTATGGGACGGAGGAAGTAAGTAGTCCCTTAATTTTAGCAATTCTTTTATTTTAATATCACGGTAATTTTGCCGGCATTATATAACGAAGACCGCTCGGGGTCTTCTTCCATCCCCGGCTCTCGATCGGGAGGCGAAGAAGGTGAGCACTCCGCTAGCTGTTTCTCCCCCTGAACCTCTGTTTCTTCCCCTTCCTCGCCTACATGCCTTTGCATCCTCTGCTCCCCGATATATGCTACGAGTAATTAATATTCTTCTGGCTTGTTGCGCCATATCGTCGCCTCCTCTTGGCTACCTCCCAGGATTATCCATCATGCATTTGCATGTGAGTTGTTCGTGGAATCTGTTGCCGGCCGTGTAGAGATCTCGATGCATGCTAGCTTTGGGGAAATAGTAGTGCAGTACTGCACCTGCACGCAGTACAATATACTCCCTCCGTTTCAAAATATTTGACACCGTTGACTTTTTAGCACATGTTTAACCGTTCGTCTTATTAAAAAAATTTGTGAAATATATAAAACTATATATGTAAATAAAAGTATATTTAACAATGAATCAAATGATATAAAAAGAATTAATAATTACTTAAATTTTTTGAATAAGACGAATGGTCAAACACGTATTTAAAAAGTCAACGGTGTCAAATATTTTAAAACGGAAGGAGTATGATCTTTTTGTTCTTGGAGAAACCATGTTTTATTAGGAATTGGGCCTTGTACAGTTTATAGCTATTAAGGCCTGGTTTAGTTCCCAACTTTTGCTTCAAACTTCTAACTTTTCAATCACATCAAAACTTTTCTACACATACAAACTTTCAACTTTTTCATCACATTAATTGTTTCAATTTTAGTCAAACTTCTAATTTGGCATGAACTAAACACACCCTAATACAAACCGTACCAAATATTGGTGAGAGCTTAAATTTGGCCATTTTTAAATGTTTGGTAGGGTTGAAGCGTTCTTTTTTTCTTACAAGGAAAACATTTGGTTTGTTAACCGACTGAAAACATTTTTTTTTTGTCAAGGTTGCTTCGGCTAGTGTTTTGGTTTGACACCAACTATTAGTCGGTCAAAGTTAAGTAATGTGCCTGTTCCTATAAAAAAATCTGGCACAAATAGTATATGTTTCTGTTCTTGTTCATATATGTACTAGTTCTATATAATAAAAAAGAAAGCCCATATGAGTGTTGCATCAATATGGGTGTGTTTAGTTCACGATCAAAATTGAAAGTTTGATTGGAATTGAAACGATGTGACGGAAAAGTTGGAAGTTTATGTATGTAGGAAAGTTTTGATGTGATGTAAAATTGAAAGTTTGAAGAAAAAGTTGGGAACTAAACCAGACCTATGTCGGTTTTTACTGTGAAACGGTCGACTTGGGCATCCAATATATGCTGGTTTACGATAAAAACCAGTACATATGATGCCGCAACTCATATATATGTGTTTGTTTTACCAATTTTATTAATATGAAGTCGGTTCAAAGACTATCTTTATATATTAAAATTGTAGAATTTCACGAGATCTAAAACTTTATAATTGTTGGCCTTTTCTTTTGAGATAGTTTACATGTCCAAAAATATATCATAATTTCACATATCTATTTGGACAAGGAACTGTTAAAAATTTCCAAACTACCCGGATCGAAATAAGATCTATATAAAAGTTCTAGTTGACAACTTTTTTTTTGAGCTCATCTGTGTGGTGTGGAGTATACGTTACAAGTTTCAGATGGAGTAGTTCAAAGAGAAGCATCTATTACTTATTACTTAGGCCTTGTTTAGTTCGCGAAATAAAAATTTTTTGGTGTCATATCGAACGTTTGACTAGATATTGGAAGGGGTTTTCGGACACGAATGAAAAAACTAATTTCATAACTCGCTGGGAAACCGCGAGACAATTTTTTTAGCCTAATTAATGTGTCATTAGCACATGTGGGTTACTGTAGCACTTATGGCTAGTCATGGACTAATTAGGCTCAAAAAATTCGTCTCATGATTTCCTCTCTAACTGTGCAATTATTTTTTCCATTTTATCTATATTTAATACTCCATACATGCATGTGTTCAAAGATTCGATTCGATGTTTTAGGAAAAAAAAATTGGGAACTAAACAAAGCCTAAGGCGACATGAAGGGTTTGATAGGTGACATGCATTTTGACAAGCCTACGCGTGGAGAGAGAGGTCCCATGTTTGAATCTTATGAACCGTTCATATTTTACATGAAAAAACACGAAACAGTGTATAAATGCAAGTAAAATATGAAATATTTTTCTAATTTAACAAGAACTAGCACCTATGAATCCTCGTAGGTGCGTGTGCCAGTTCTAGAACTGACACAAATAAACATGGCTTATCGGTGTGGATAATTTGATGCTAGTTTGATTCCAAGCTCCATTGCATCTCTCACACGCTGTCCCCAGTTTCATAGGCTTTGTGGTGGTGCTCGATTGGATAATTCTTCTGCATAACTAGCCAGTGGAGTTGTGCATTCGCGCAACTTTAACCCGGAATATATGAGCCTATTTATTTTATATATAAGAACAACAACTAAAATCACTATTGATACTATGTTCAACCGGTGACTAGCCTGGAGCTTCTTCTTATGCTTCATCTGTTCTTCTACATTGTTATCTACTATCTGTTTATATGGTTTTCTACTTCCTTTATTTGATGGCCCACATTTGTTTTTCTTGTTTTGCTTTTTTCTCAATTGGATAGTCCATATTTTGTTGCCTATGAACCAATGAGGTGCTTTGAAATCATTTCGCTTTCACTACTTTAGATGTGTCGATATGGATGGATGGGTCCTCTGCATATCCTAATCCTCCCGGCTCTAGATTTGTATAGCAGTTGATGACTGATGAACTTCTTTTACGCCATATTCCAGTGTTCATATAAGTTTCTAACTTTCTATGGATATGATGGTGTTTTAATTTCTAACGGCAGGGTATGAGTGACATGGCTGCTGAATGTGGGAGTGGCAACTGTGATGCTTGGGCAGCGAGAGATCCTTCCGGAATCCTCTCCCCGTACAAATTCAACCGCAGGTGAATGATCACATAACATTCCATTGAGATTTTGTAACGAAAAATGTCAACTTTGAAACATGAATGTCTTTCTAGCATTGTTAAGAGATCTTCCTAGTCTCCAGTGCTCTCTCATATAAGCAAAATGAACTATATATCCAGCCACTTAAATCATGGCCAATTTCACTTTTCGGCTAGTTGCATTCATAGTTGGAATGTGAGTGTCAGCTTGCCAAGTTAGTTGTGTCGATTTTTGTTCTTGCCAGCTCGACAAACTGGATCACAAAATCGATAGTTTTTTATTGAATGCCGTGAAAAACGAGTGGACAAAATATTTAAATGTCTACACAGACTTACTGGATTAAGATTGCAAAATTAATTAGTTGATTCATATTTTACTGCATGTTCTAGTTGATCGATAACCTGATTGATTTCAGGGAAGTACAGAGTGAAGATGTTTCTTTGAGGATCACACACTGTGGAGTATGTTATGCTGATGTCATTTGGACACGGAATATGTTCAACGATTCGATATACCCTTTGGTTCCTGGGTAAGATCGATTGTCAGATCAATTTACCATACTTGAGATTTCAGAACAGCGGGGAAAATGATAAGCTCCAGTCTTTCTGTGTTACGGATCATAATTAAATTGCTAGCTAGCTAGCTACTCCCTCCCGTATTCTAATGTGACTTTTCAACTAACGTTGACCATTCGTTTTATTCAAAAATTTTATGCAAATATGAAAATATTTATGTCATGCTTAAAAAACATTTGATGACGAATCAAGTCATAATAAAATAAATGATAATTATATAAATTTTTTGAATAAGACGAATGGTCAAACGTTGGATAAAAATTCAACGGCGTCATACATTAAAATATGGAGGTAGTAGTACTTTTGTTTGATGCAAAGATAAATGTTTACCCCCTAAATCGGGTGTCTTAACATTCAATTTGAGTAGGCACGAGATAGCTGGAGTTGTAACTGAGGTTGGTGCAGACGTCAAGGGGTTCAAAGTGGGCGACCATGTAGGTGTTGGCGTATATGTGAATTCATGTCAGGACTGCGAGAACTGCAATAGCTCTCTGGAGAACCACTGCTCGAAATGTGTCGTCACTTACAACAGTGTTGATTCAGACGGGACCGTAACAAAGGGTGGATATTCCAGTCATATACTAGTGCATCAAAGGTACTCTGCTTTCTTGTTAATTTTCTGACATAACAAACCGACCAAAAAGTACTCCCTCCATTTCAAGTTATAATATGTTTTAACTTTAGTCGAAGTTAAAATGTTTTTAAGTTTGACTAAGTTTACAGATAAATATAGTAATATTTATAATACTAAATTAGTTTCATCAAATCAATAATTGAATATATTTTTATAATAAATTTGTCTTGGGTTGAAAATGCTACTACCTTTTTTATAAACTTGGTCAAACTTAAAGCCATTTGACTTTAACCAAAATCAAAACATATTATAACCTGAAACGGACGGAGTAATAATTATATTAGTTATATAGACATAAATCTTATAAATAATGTGGATTATATATCCATGGGTAGGGGTGAAAATGGTATGGAAATTTCTCGACCGTACCGATACCGTTTCCGCAAAACTAATATAATAATAATAATTTTACCGATGTTACCGTTTTCAAAATTTAGTTTTTTTAATTTCTGTCAGCGTGGCATTGAAGTTGGCACTAAATAGATGAATTCATAAATATGGAAATTTCCCGACCGTTTCTGTTCGTTTTCCAAAAAAATAATAAAATAATGTACTGTTTCCGACCATTTCCGACCGTTTTCATCCCTATCCATGGGGGAGTACTGGGTTCGTACCCACTGAACACGTATCTTAATACTAAATGACAGGTTTTAAACTGAAATGTACTACCTCCGTCCCAAAATAAGTGCAGCCGTGGATATCCGTGTCCAATGTACTATTCATATTTTATCATCTAATAACTATAAAAATACTAATCATAAAAAAAATTTAAATAAAACGAACAGTCAAACGTTTAACATGAAGAATACAAAACTACATTTATTTTAGGACGGAGAGAGTAATAAACAAGGTACGAAAGTGTCAAATATGGAGTTATAATTCTATATGGGTATGGATCATAAAGAATTCTCCATATATATATATTACTCCCTCCGGTCCATAATAAACAAGGTACGAAAGTGTCAAATATGGAGTTATAATTCTATTATATGGGTATGTATCATAAAGAATTCTCCATATATATATATTACTCCCTCCGGTCTAAAATATAGCAATTTTTAGGTAGATATGATATATAATAGTACTACGAATCTAGATAAAAGGTTGTTATACTTTGGAATAGAGGAAGTAGGAAATATGGGGATGCAGTTACGGATTGAACACATCTGATTGAACATTAAAACTCAAGCACCCGACATACTCTGAGTTGCTGCGCTCTAATCATATCCGCGTGCACGCATTTACTCTTTTCGCTGAGTTTGGCTGCAACATACGTACTCCCTCCGTCTAAAAAAAGACAAACCATTAGTTTCTGTCTTATATAATTGTTTTTTATAATTAGTATTTTCATTGTTGTTAGATAATAAAACATGATTAATACTTTATACGTGACTTATCTTTTTAATTTTTTTTAAATAAGACGGACGTTGGACACAAAAATTCAGGATTTTTTTCTTGACGGAGGGAGTACTGGTCACTGTATTCTGTTGAATGCAAGCCCGTCTCCTGCTCTCTTCTCTAACAACACTTTAGCAAAACTTTAAAAATACTTTTTTATAAATTATTTATCTAATTTGATTCGATTACATAATTGTATATGTATATACATGATTATATTTATAATTGAAATATTTTTATGTCATATATGAAACATCGAGTACTTCTAATTAAAATATTTTTATATCATATATAAAACATCGAGTTGTAGTTGCTAAAAGAGTACAAAATACTTGATGGAACTGTTGGCAACTTTTCGTGATAAGTTGACAAGCACGATCGCAACACCTAAACGCCTGGCGGTGATCCTAGAGTCGCCAACTACCTCGATCTAGCAAAAGCTAAATCAAGATGGGTTTTGATAACTAAATCGGCTAGCGGAGCCGATTCTAAATAACTACCCGTCTCGTGGGCAAAATAGAAGGTTTTCAGGACAAATCTACAAAGAGGTGTCGCACTCTCGCAGCGGCGGCGTACGATTTACAGCGCAAATCGACAAAGATGGACGAACTAAAGCAAAAACTAAAAGCAATATGAAAAACGATTCGATTGATTGATTGTAGATTGATTAGTTACAATTGAACCGACCATGTCCCTTATATAGGGGTTGGTCCTGCCCTCTACAGACCCTCCTCCACGTCCAACTCGGGATAGAATCCAAAGGAAACCCGAAACATGCCTTCCCGAGTAAGGAAACTTTGAGACCCGACGAAATACACTCGGACTCGGACCCTGCTGGTCAGACCGGCCACATACCGGCGGTCTGACCGGCCAACACATGGCGGTCAGACCGACCCACTCGAAAGAAACCGGCAGACTTCCAAACTCTGGCAATTTTTTCTATTTTACTCTTAGATGCCAAATTTGGGTGTAAACAGGAACATCAAAGAACACCATTGCACTTACAATATTTACAAATGAATTAGAGAAATATCATAAATATTTTGTTAAAACATCCCAGCAACGCCGTGTGCAATGACTCACTTTTCATTTTCACAAACATTTACAAATGATTCAACCCCTAAATAAAATTTTGGGTTATTTTACCAGCTAAACTATTTGACACGACTCACTTTACTCCCCAGTGGTATTTGTCCTTTTCATTTCATTTTATATAAGTCGTATTTTGAGTTGAAACTTTGTATAGCCGTAGATGACATCATATACTATGTTACAAAATATTTTTAAAAAATTTATACTATGGTTTGCTTGTAGGTTTAAATAAGTTTCAGGTGCTTTCAACATATGCAAACAGTGATTAAAATCCAAAAAAAAAGTTTGAGATGTAAGGTGCAATGTTATCTTTATCTCACAAATTTGAACTTAAAATGTCTGTTATAAAAGAGAAAATGGTCTGTCATTACTTCTGTATTATGTTGATTACAATTACCATATAATTAAGTAATCTTGGGACTACGAATGTTTGTATTAGCTGCCCTTCTATCTACTGATGTGAAAAACATTGTAATTAAGCTAATTGCATCTTCTTTGTTTCATTGACATGGCAGGTACTGCTTTAAAATACCTGCTGACTACCCTTTGTCAAAGGCAGCACCACTGCTTTGTGCGGGAATTACCGTATATACTCCAATGATACGACATAACATGAACCAACCAGGGAAGTCACTTGGCGTCATTGGACTAGGTGGGTTGGGTCACATGGCAGTAAAATTTGGGAAAGCCTTTGGACTCAAAGTGACAGTTTTTAGTACAAGTGAATCAAAGAGAGAAGAAGCTATCAACCTTCTTGGTGCAGATAATTTTGTGATATCATCAGATGAAAATCAGATGGAGGTACATTGTAAAAATATTTTTTGCTCCATTGTGTAGAATTATTTTGCTACTCCTATATATGAGCATGCCGATCATAAGTTGTTTTATTGGCAAATGTCATTTGGAAAATATGGTGCTAATAACTTCTTCTTGTCTTCTCATTCCTCTTGCAACAAACTAAATGTGCTTATGACAAATTAATCATTGTTGCAGTCACTGAAAAGTTCCCTTCACTTCATTATTGATACTGCATCTGGTGATCACCAGTTCGATCCTTATCTCTCGCTTCTGAAAGTTGGTGGTGTAATGGTGCTACTTAGCTTCCCAAGTGAAATCAAAGTTCATCCTGAAAACCTTAATCTCGGTAATGCATATTTCTCATACCAATATATATATATATATATATATATATATATATATATATATATATATATATATATATGTGTGTGTGTGTGTGTGTGTGTGTGTGTGTGTGTGTGTGTGTGGTGTGTGTGTCTGACAGAATGGGGAGAAAATTAATGGATTAATTACAAGTAATCTGAACTTACGCAGCTGCGCGGAGCTTAGCTGGTAGTGTAACAGGGGGTACAAAGGATATCCAGGAGATGATAAACTTCTGTGCTGCAAACAATGTTTACCCAGATATAGAGATGATCAAGATAGACTACGTCAACGAGGCTCTTCAGAGGCTCATCAACCGGGATGTGAGATTCCGCTTTGTAATCGACATCGAGAACTCTTTCAAGTAGTATATCTTCGCCGTATACGGTATCAGAAGTAACGATCGAAGTTTGTGACATAATAATAAATCGAACTACATAATATTGAGACTTGATCAAGGGACAGCTCCAGAATAAAATGTTCCATATTAAGAGAAAATTTGGTTCTGTTTTTAGTTATTTTTAATCCCAATATTTTTCATATCCGCTCTTTTTTCCTGTTTGGATTGCATCAAGACTAGAAAACTAGGCGTGGCTTTGCCACGCCATTACGGTGAATGGCCTAGTGTTCTTAGCAGAGTGGCCTAAACTCGGGAATTTCATTTTAAAAATACTCCAATATCTTGTGTTCATTAAAATGCTCCAAAATGGTAAGTAGACTGCCAACATGATTACGACAAATATAACCATATAAGTCAACATTGAGGCACAAAGAATAATTTCATATGAATTGCAGATCATTTCATAGAAATTGTCTGTCGCCATGCCAACTCGATAAAACCACAGCCCAGTCATTCTCATCCTCATCCATCGGATTCATCTGAGCAATCCTGTGTCCATTTTGGGAACAAAATACATCCGGTCCTGGTATAGAGTGCACGTCATATCGATATAGGTGTTGTATTTATATGCACCCCTGATACGGCTTATCATGTAGATGCACAATCTTTTACGCCTTGATGCTCACAGTGAATGAACGAACTTCTCATAGAAAACAAATTGAGTAAAGCAGCTATAACATAATATATTGTTATGTTCACAGAGAAAGCAACATGAAAAAAAAGAGAGTAAAATGGTAGGACTTAATATACCATTACGCTCACAGTAACGAATATTGACATGAGCATGGTTCTACCATCCACGTGTGCTACTGTCTTATTAATCAGCAAGTCTGTTTCCTCATTTGAAGCAGTTATTCAAGCATATTCAGCTCTCAATGACAGTAGTGAGAAACTCTATCTCCTAAGATTCATGCACACTGCACACATCATCTATAAATTGAAAATGGTTTATTTCGGTCTACATCATCTAGTTTGAACTAAACTCAATAAATTCTAGCCCAAAAATAATCTTATTTAGGAATGACCTGATTTATCTTGTTTATTTGAATAAAGCATGTGTTCTCTGCATTTACAATAGACCCATCAAAGAACAATGTTTATTTGAAAATGAACTATAGGAAGATGCACAGCTAGCTTGACTGAATCATTTACATTGAAGCATAAGAACTGTGTGTCATGCAATGCAAAACTTCTTTTCTCAATTAGAAATTTAACTATTTTCTTGACAAACTGCAATATAAATTTCTGAAGCTGCACAACTGGTGTTTATTATATTAAGAGGTATGATATCTACCTCTGCCATGGCATTAGTTATGATATCTGGAATGGGCTCTATAGTGTCACCGATCCACCGTATCTGGAATGAGCTGCCCTTCTCTTGGTAATTTGCTATCTACTCCACAGTTGTCAAAGAACCAATATCAAAATGCAATTTCAATATAGCAGCATCAACGAAGACAGGGGGAACGGAGAGAGTTAATGATGGGTGATAAACTCAGGCTATTCTTCAGAGTGCTACCAACAGGCAGAGATAAATTACAGAGCTGTAGAATATCTCTTTTTGCTGAAGATTATTAACAACATCAGTGATTCAGTGTAAAAAAGTGAAACCAGATTAATGGAATGGAATAGTGAATTAAATTCGTTAGCTTTAGAGAGATGATGCTGCCAGACTGGAGGTTTCAAAATGTTACATAAGATTATAATTCAATCAAAGGACACATTTCTATTTCAGGAAAGATAGCTAAAGAGAGCATTTGCTTTTCATTCTTCAGTGATAATTTCAGTTTGAAGTGGAGTCGCGATTGAACTTTTGCAGTGTACATCTGAGAATAGCATAGTAGGATGCTTCACTGGAATGATCAATTTATATTTTGAACTCATGAAATAGTAAAAGCTGAAGTACTCCTACATCACATTTAACCTGTCTCAACCATAGTAGTTCTCAGAGAAGAATTCAGAAACCATGGTTTGCAGAGAAATAGAGCTTCATGATTCACCAAATATACTGAACATTTCAACATTGGCACAGTAATAACTAACTTCAAGGCCTCAAGGAATATTCATAGTAAAATGAGAAGACTTTTTTTCTCTGAGGAATAAAATGGACCATATTTTTATGAAGCTGTATCAGACTTGCTCAGAAAATTGCATGGTACATTGTATAGCCAATATTCTATTTCTTGAACCTAACTATGTCAAAAGGTGTGAGTTAGACTTATTATATAACTATATGAGTGAACTGACAACAGGAATAATCCCTGCGAGTAGGTTCAACTGATAGGACCTATACATTCTGGAATAAATGAACTAAATTTGTTTGACGACATAAACTTGATAGGTCTAGATACTCGCTAAGCTATCATAGGAAGAGTAAAATCTTTCTCACAACAAAGCTATGACCATTGGCAAAGGACAGGATGGTCTAGTTGCATAGAAGAATTATCAACAAGGACAACCACATGATAGACTATTTGTCATATTTCAGACAATAGTAGACATATATACATGTTTCTTTTGTTGGGATACGCGTAAGCTACGATAGCATAAATCAAAATTTTCTATCGCGTAAACCAGGAACCATGCAAATATTAGATCATAGATCGTTACCACTCGACGCGCTGTGCAGCAGAAAAAGGCGCTAAGAAGTCAAAAGAATTCTCGCGAAGTAGCGCGCGTCGATGTAGAGGAAGTAGTCGATCGCACCGGCTCGACCATCTCCTCCTCGTGCGTTCTCCTCGCCGTATTCCCACGCCGATCAGCACCGCAAACCAGCGGCGCCTCTACCGGTATCCACACGTACAGGGATGGAACGCCACGCGCAGATGTGCTAGCACCCGCGCGCGGCTAGGGTTTTGCTCGGGGAGGGAAGTGACGGCTAGGGTTTCTCACGTGATGCAATACCTCCGCCGGTCACACCCCTCACGAATATATAGGATCCATCACTCGGGCCTCCAAGGCCCGTAGGACTCCTATTCGGATCTCTATCCGAATTAAGGTAATATTGGATCTCCATCCAATCCCCTTATTCCGGCCCATTAAGCGTGCGACCCTGTAGGTTCATGTATACTCGGCTGTAACCCGAAAACTCCTTTTCGGTTCACGCGTCAACAGCGGCCCCTAGCAGAACATATTAACCCACCGGGCATACATAAAGATCATATCGGCTGAACCTCTAGTATATACTTGTATGAACCCCTTTGCCTCACGATATTGATTAAGCTCAAGGCTAGATATGTGCCATCCTCTAATAGCTCAATCATTCACTCGAACCTGTTGATAGATTATATAACTTGTGATTGACTCATCAATCACCTTTGGCATGGCCATGCACTTCCATAATCTACAACATCGAGGGGCCCAGAGATATCTCTCCATAGGAGGGGCAAATCCCATCTTGGTTATTCATATCCCACTACATGTTTCATAGCATGCCCGAAAACTACTTTTATAACTACCCAATTACAGAGTAGCGTTTAGCAGTCCCTAAGTAAGCTACTACACATGTTGGGAACCATGATAATCTCAGGTCTAAGGATTCAACACCAACACTAAATGAGATCACTGATGACACAACACATATGGCTCTTGCAGTGTCTCATATTGGGTCTATCCAATAACATGTTCACTAACATGTGTCCATATTATTAATTTGGTATCTCCATACCATGATCCATGAGACATGATCCTCAATTAATACATGTGCTGATCATATAAACATATTTGTTCCATATATGATATTTGATCAGGGATCCTTTAGAAATAGTAACAAACAACATAAAGAGTCTCATGAAAGAATCACATATTCATTAACCAATAATGAGTTATCTATTTCAAGGAACAATGTCGGATAAATATATAAACATAGTATGAGATACAATCATCTCAATGATTGCCTCTAGGGCATATCACTAACATCTTTTTCAGATACTGCTATGATATCATATGTGTCATTGTGTATTCAGCTTGTTAGTTTCTGCCTTACATCGTTGAAGTGTTTTTGGTTGCTAAATAGGACAAATTTTATACTTGTAGATATACAAATACACCTAATTGAACTTGATTAACATAATTCTGTACAGAGCACAGCTAGCAGGCAAAGGTGAACAGAGATGTAGTTAACATGCGTGGGTGCTGATGTGTGAAGGTGTTACGGATGCTTGGTCTTCTGCCACCTTCGTACTGTGAGTCAAGAAATGCCAACTCTTCAGATTTCAGACAAAGACAAAACATTTTACAAATGACAGTTAATTTTTGGCAACTAATTCATTCCTTGGTGCCAATCTGAGCAATATTCAGTAGCATCGCGTAACACGCAAAAACCACCGAAAACAGCAAAAAAATTCCTTCTTTTTTCTTAATTACAGGTGGAATTAATCACCTGTGGTTTGAACACATAGGGAAGCAGGGGAGGGAGCTCCCGCTGGCATGACAGCATCCGGCAGCGGTACCACGGTCCTCAGCCACGCCCTTTGCTGCACGGCCAGTGGCCTCCGTCCAAGATCCCTTCGGTGCCGCGGCTTGGGGAGAGAGGCGGCCGGCGAATCAAAAGGCAGGCAAAGACGTACGTAGCGATGCACGTGATTTCACCCTCCCCATCCCCAAGCACGGCAACCGAATTCATCGCCACATCCAGTGACGAGGTGGATCTGTGTCACTGCCGCCGAGCTTGAGGGGAGAGACGGCACAGAACAGCGCGCCGGCGCGTGGGATGGTCGGCCTCGGGTGCCGGAGGGGCGGAGGTGGAGCTGGAGCGCGAGGAGGAGGAAGAGGCGGCGACATCGGCGTAGGTCGACCTCCGACGAATGAGGCGGAGGAAGCGGGGGCGGGGCTGCCGGCGGAGAGAAGGGCATAGCAGGTTTAGCCGTTTAGGGGTATAACTTTTTCAAAAAGACCCCTAAAACCTCACATATTACAACGAGGTCCACCGCAGCTATTCCACACCGTTGATCATCGATCTGACGGCTGAGGGAGAGGACTAACGCTGGAATCGTATTGTGCCACGTGGAGGGGTTATTTGCACGCGAATCCACAGAGATTTCGATATTAGAGATAGGCGCTAGAGTCTTTTATTATTACTCTCTTTGTCCCAGAAAAAAAACCTATCATTTTAAGGATGATCTGACAAATTAACTCTAAG